TTTTCTAAATGGCTCAATACAGAAGAGTAGGATTTACATCTGAGAAGGCTCCAAAATTAACACTAAAGCCAAAAGGTATTCTCACCAGACACACTTTTGCCCAATTTGAAATTATTTTCAAGTACAAAGCCTAACATCTTAGGGCATACTTCTTATCTCAGGACTCAACTATTGCTCTCTAAATGTTTAGTGCATTGTGTTTTCTAAATGGTTTCAATAGGATTTACATTTGAGAAGGCTCCAAAAGTAACACTAAAGCCAAAAGGTATTCTCACCAGACACACATTTGCCCAATTTGAAACTTGAAATTATTTTCAAGTACAAAACCTAACATCTTAGGGCATACTTTTTATCTCAGGACTCAACTATTGCTCTCTAAATGCTTAGTGCATTCACTGATGTTTATTTTCCTGATTCACGAGAGCATGTGGGAGCTGTGAAAAAAATGAAATTCTGGGTGTTTGAGGTCAAGGTCACACCAAGGAACCTGAAAGTAAAAGAGGAAACAATGGTTTGATGGCTGTGGTTCTTGTGCTTTCCATGTGACTTTGAGGAGAACTCTAAAGGCTTCTGTAAAAACAGTACAGGGTGTCCCTTTTAACCGCAACGTGGTTTCATCCTCACTGGCTGAGAGCTTTTCTTGCGTGGTTTCTCCTCGGTTCAATCTGTAGCTCTGTACATTAATTGGAGCTACGTATCCAACCTGGGAAAAATGGGGCAAGAAAAGCTGTTGGCTGCTGAGGAACCCTAGCTGGTCATACAGGAATGCTGTAATGTTGACCTTTTTTTTTATAGCTTTAGGGCCAAGTTCTGCAAACGCTGTATGGTGTAATGCTACAATAACAAATAATACTACTTGGAGACCTTTTATGCTGGTAGTTTCTACCAATGTTTGCAAAGTGGGCCTAGTTTTTACATAAATTGTTCCTAATTAGCAAGAGTTGGCTTTTCTGATGCAAAACTTTCAGGCTAACACTTTCTAGCATGTCAGCTATTTTGGTTAAGTGGGTGATAACTCAGTGTTGTGGTTTGCTGTATATCACGAGACTGGAGTTGTGATTTAGAGGATGTTGCAATCTATGTTCACTGTGTGTGTAAAAAAAAAAAAAAAAAAAAAAACCAAAAAAACCACCCCAAAAAAAAAAAAAAAAAAAAAAAAAAAAAAAAACCCAAAAAAAAAAAAAAAAAAAACACACCCCTCTCTCCCTGCAAAAAAACCCCAAAGCCCCAAACCTAACCCCCCCCCAAACCCGTGGTTTACTCAGCACATACAAACTGAAACTTCTTATGGTCAGCCTATGTACTAACAAATGCAATACTTTGTTGTACTACTTATGTGACCACACATCTTTTAAAAATCAAAAACCTATGTCCATTTATGGTGCTAATGATCTCTTTAAAAAAAAAAAATAGCAAGAGCTGGTATTCTCTTCTTACCCATGAACTTTTAAGGAAAGTTATTGTGACACCTTTTCAATAAAGCAAAATTTCTCTGTGTATTAAGCCTGTTCCCAATGTTTTTTTTTATACAAATATGACCCTTTTCTATTTCTGTTTTTTATATAAAAATTGCAAAATATTATAGTAAGTATTTTTAGTGCAGGAAAATGTAGTATAGACCCACATACACTCCTACCATGTCCAAAATTAAATTTACATACATGCTTAGGATAGCTAATCTTCTGAAACTCGGTCTAATATAAGAATTGGGTAGGATTAAGGCATAGGCTAATAATTAAAAAAATAATAATAATTCTTTAGCTTTGTCATTATTGTTGAAGCCTTGGAGACAGAGAGGATGAGAAGTGGACAAAACCGTGTTAGGAGAACAACGATTATGCAGTGTAGATCTATCTTTTGCTGAAGCTTCTCAAAAACAAACTTGTGAAGGAACATGACCACGTAACCATAGCTAAAGAACAGAAGTGAAACTTGCCATGATTACCAAGGCAATTCATAGTAGGACATTATAAAAACACATAAAAGAGCCTTAAACTAGGATTGTTTAGATTGTGGAACAGCAAAGTATTTTTCTAATTTGGCTTTAAAGCTTCGCAAGCAACCTTCTCTTAAGATGAGAAACTACCTTGTGCCTTCTGTTGCAGAAGTTATTGTTGTTTCCTCCCCCCTGCCTTTGGTTGTGATTTTTGTCCTGCATATAATGAAGGACAAGAGGCTTCTTTGGGCAGCAGTACCTACATTTTCTGTCCATGGAGAATACAAAACGTTTAGTTCTTGTTAAAGGCCCTTTCCTTCCCAACCTGCAGTTATAAAAGTGTCTGCCTCTAACACACTTGGAAATCCAACTCTGAAATAAATATGATGCCCTTAACTGAGAGGGAGTTGTGAGCATGTAGGGTGGGTGCCGCATCCAGGTGCACACTGGTGAAGGGATAGGGTGCCCTGGAACACTGCGGCACACTTCTCCAAAGTTGTGGCACCCTGAGGTTTTGATCACTAAACCACTAACTTTCATATACTGGAAGAAGTTCTCGTGAGCCACTTGTACCTCGTACTTCAAGAAATAAACAGGTTTCTTTATTTTACGAAACTTCTGTGCCTGTGCAAAGAATATTCCAGGTCTAGAGTTAGATCATTGAAAGTGGAAACAAACCCACCATCTAGGGTAGAAGCAGGGCTGGCTGGGTGTTTGTGTTGAGAGGAGATGGATAGTTGGGTAATGATGGTCTGTATTCTGTCTTGCTAATTCTCCCGGTGCTTGCTTTAGCAGTAGGGCACTTGGAAGAGCCAAAGATAGAACAAAGACATCCATAAATGCAACTGTCCTATCTTTTAATTGCTAGATGCTTTGGAGAAAACTGGTTGTCTTTTTTAATTTATAAAAAAAAAAGGTGCAATATTTTTTGAAATATTAAGAGATAGATGGCTGCATGTTTAAATGCCCTGCAAAAATGGAAGCTGTGAGAGGGTGTGACGTGCACTGGACCTAGAGCAGATTTTTTTGCATTAGCGCCTGTCAGTGCACTAGTGTCTAACTTATAACTTTAAAATATTTTCAGTATTTTTTTTTATAAGGAGAGTGTTTTTTGTCAATCAAGTGCCTGTGGAAATAAAAATCCAGAAGTTGCCTGCGAGCTTAAGCGAAACATATAAAAACACAGCTCATACTTGAAGAAAATGAGTGCTAACTCATCAGCTGTACAGGATAACTGGTCGAGAGTTTTAAGGACTGTTAGTAAGATTCAAAGGCCAAGATAAAGTTTGAGAAAGGAATATTATATTGCTTTTGAGAATTTACAGTGTTAATTAAACTTGAAATGTTTCTGCTTGGGCCTTAACTCTGTAACTTGGTTAAAGAAAAATAATTTGACCTATATTTTTTATTTAACACTTGTTTTAATGACAGACTTGACTCTGGTGGGGTTTTTTGTTTGCTTATTACGTGGAGGTGTTTTTACCTTTTAAAATTAGAGTCACCAAATGATTTGATTCCACAATTTCAGGCAAAACAGTTTGCAGAATGGATTTTCCTTAAGTGCAGAATTAAATTGAGGTGGTTTTCATTACATTGAATATGTAGTTATTCAGGGTATGCAGAATATTAGTAAAGTACTGGTTTATGTTTTGCTATTAATTTTATGCTTTAAAAAGAGGCTATTGGTTCTAATTGGCAAATCTGACTTTAATGTTGCAACAACTTCTGGCATTTTTAAGTGGAAACATTCATTTAATGATGCTTCAGAGCAAAGTTTATATTTGATCAGTACAGTCAGTTAAAAGTATGAAAATAGTGTTGTTTTTACCTGTGTTAATGTGAAACTTAATCTCTTGGTAACCTAGAATTGGCTGTATGCCACAAAAAACAATCTTCCAACTGCATATGGAGGCAAGAAGAGAATTTCTTTATCTCGTGCTGCTTCTAAACTAGACTGAGAAGGAAGTGAGGCTGCATTACTCTTCTGTAAAGAAAATGGGCAAAACTGGTCATGTGTTTGAGCTGTACTGAACAGCTTAGCTTCTGATTTTCAGATTGCACAACTTTAAACTTTCCTTGAGGCTCAAATTTTAAAATGTCTTTGGTTCAGATAAATCTTTGCCCATTTCTGTATTTTTTTTTCTAATGGATGCATTTCATTGGTGTACACTGTAATTAACCAATGAATTTCTGCCAGATATGGACAAAACAAACTGCATTCTGTTCTGCCAAATTAAATCTGTTTTCTACCTTATTAGTTTTTCTACCTTGTTTCATCTATGGCTAGTAAAATACCCATTTGCTGTTTATATTAGATTAAAGGGAGGTTGCATCCAGTTGCCTTAATTGCTTGGAGGAACACTGTCCTTCATCATTTGAAGCTTTATGTATTTCTAGAATTCCTGTAACTTCTGTACAATTGCAATAAAACCTTTTTAATATAGTCCAGCCACTATTTTAAGATCCACTTGTTGCTATCTTTACTGTATGTTCAACTAGTTAAAAAAAAAAAAACAACCACCACCCTTTTTAATGGGTAAGCACTATTTGATCTGTGTGTTTTTGTTTCGGGGAGGTCACTTCAAAGATGGTGTTTCTCTTGTTTTGCCCACAGTGCTTTCCTCCTGTAGTGAGAGACTAAAATCACCGATGCTGCAGCAGATGGTTTGGGATGCCATGCAGTAGCGTTTTTCAACATCTACCTACCTTTGTATAGATGAAATTTTTAGGCTGTTGATCAGCTGGAGAAAGTGCACCAAGGTGTGTTTTGCAGAGAAGGGGAAAGCTACCCTGAAAACCAGTTAAGTTTGGGGTGGCCGAGGGGGTACTTGGTTTTTTGGTGTGTGGTGGTTTTTTTTTGTTTTTGTTGATTGGTTTTGGTTTGGTGTGTTTGGGGTTTTTGTTTGTTTGGGTGTTTTTTTTGCTCTGGGGAAGGACAAGAACTAACCCCACTGTTCCTCTAAAAAGTAGGCCCAGTGCTGTCCTGCGCTTGCCAAGCAGTTCCTTCACCTTTCTCCCACCTTAGTCCTTGGTTATGAAAAACAGAAGATTTTTTTTGTGTTACCTGGAAGTGCCAGCTTTTGTCTTGGGGATGGATCCTCTTGTCTTTCCTTCCCTAATAAAAAGAGATTTTTGCATGAGAGGCATTTAGAAGTGAAGTCCTATGGGGCTGTAAGGAGCACTCACTTTGATGGTTTTTTTTTTTTACTAGATGAACATATATGCGCTTCTGTTCGATTAAATCATTTTAAAGTCTACAGCTTTTGATACCCTCACCCGAGGACCTAAAAACCAAACCCCATACCCTACCCCGCCCCCCAAAAAAACCCAAAACAGACAAAAAAACCCAAATCCCACCCCCCCGCTAGAACTAATTTTAATTTTCACCGTCTTTAGCAAAGCCTCCTTCGATAATCGCCTGGATCTTCCGTACCCCACCTCTGCCGCTGGCTCCGGGCCCCTGCTCCTCCCGCCGAGCGGAGCCCGGCCCTGAGGCGGCCCCGCTGCCCGCCCACAGCCCGCCGCCGGCGGGGTCAGGGCTCTGACAGGCCTCGCCTCACGCCCGCCCCCGCCATCTTAAGCCGCCAGGCGCTGGCGGGGGGCGAGGAAAGGGGGGGCGGGAGGAAGGAAGGAAGGAAGGATCGTGGCGGGTCCCCGCGCCGCCTGAGGGGATGGCGGCGGCCGGCACGGCCGCTTGGACGTGGCTGCTGCGGGCCCCCACCGCCACCGAGCTGCTGCTGGCGGCCCTGTGCTGGCTGGGCTGCTACTGGCTGCTGAGGCGGCGGCCGCGGGCGCTGTCGGGGCTGCCGCCGGGCCCGGAGCCCTGGCCGCTGGTGGGCAACTTCGCCTTCGCCCTGCTGCCGCCGCCGCTGCTGAGGCGATGGGCGGTGGTGGTGAAGGGGGCCGGCCGGGGCTCCCCCGCCTTTTCCCCTCACGTCTTCCTCACCGGCCTCACCAAGATGTACGGCAGCGTCTTCCGGCTCTTCGTGGGCAGCCGCCCCTTCATCGTCCTCAACACCTTCGGGGCGGTGCGGGAGGCGCTGGTGCAGAAAGCGGAGGTGTTCAGCGACCGCCCCTCCGTCCCCATCGTCCTCATGATCACCCGCAAGAAGGGTAAGGGCCGGGGGGGGGAAGGAGGGAGCCGCTGCCCGGGCCCGGCGGCCCAGCCCCGGCTCCCGGGGCGGGGGGGCGTTGCGTGAGCTGCCCGGGGGGCTCGGGCAGGGATGCGGGGCGGGAGCTGTTGGGTTTGGTGCCCAAATTAACGAGCGCTGCTAATCACAGACTGAGCCGCCCGCTGGCCGTGGGTGTCCCCTTGCCCCACGGGTGACGGAGCCTTGCAGGGAGCAGGCAGCATCCCCCGGGCTTGGGGTGTCTCATCCCTTTCCCTTCCCTCTGCGGGAAAAGGAACGGCGTTTGTGCAGCGGGGGCTTTAGGAAGAGCCATCCTGACATCCGAGGGGTGAGGAGACACCGGGAGAAGAAATGTGGAGGGCTTTGCTGGCCTCCATGGAGCCCCAGGGCCGGGCAGCGTGGGTTGTCCGCATCCCAGATGCTCTGGCTGAGATCACGGAATTGTCAGAGTTAGAGAAGACCTTCTAGAGATCATCCAGTCCAACTCCCCTGCCAAAGCAGGGTTGCCCAGAGCACATCACTCAGGAGCATCCAGACGGGTCTTGAAGATCTCTAGAGAAGGGGACTCCACGACCTCCCTGGGCAGCCTGTTCCAGGGCTCTGGCACCCTCACCCGAAAGAAGTTCTTCCTCAGATTGGAGTGGAACTTCCCATGTTCCAGCTTGTGCCCGTTGCCCCTCGTCCTGTCACTGGGAACCACTGAAAAGAGTCCGGCTCCATCCTTCCTCAACCCACCCTTTCCATACTTGTCAGCATTGATAAGGTCTCCCCTCAGCCTTCTCTTCTCCAAGCTGAAGAGTCCCAGCTCTCTCAGTCTTTCTTCATCAGGGAGATGCTCCAATCCCTCCATCATCTTCGTTGCCCTACGCTGGACTCTCTCCAGTAGTTCCCTGTCTCTCTTGAACTGGGGAGCCCAGAAGTGGATACGTTATTCCAGTTGTTGCCTCACCAGTGCAGAGCAGAGGGGGAGAGTTACCTCCCTCCACCTACTGGCCACACTCTTCCCTTCGAAGCCCAGGATTCCATTGGCCCTCTTGGCAACAAGGCCTCATGGAAAGTTTGCTATCCACCAGGACTCCCAGATCCTTCTCAGAAGTGCTTTCCAGAAGATCCACCCCTAACCGGTGTTGGTGCCTGGGGTTCTTCCTCCCCAGGTGCATTTGCCCTTGTTGACCCTCATTAGGTTCTTCTCTGCCCAGCTCTCCAGCCTGTCCAGGTCATGCTGGATGGCAGCACAGCTCTCTGGAGTGTTGGCCAGTCCTCCCAGTTTGGTATCATCAGCAAACTTGCTGAGGATACGCTCTGTCTCCTCATCCAGGTCATTGATGAATATGTTGAACAGGACTGAGATGTTGGTGGGTGGGTTATTCCACTTGTCAAAACTTACTGAGCACGTTTGGGCTTTTGTTTTTTTTTTTTTGAGTAGGTCAAAGGAGACTTTATTAGCTTCCCCCCCTCAAAAAAGGGGCTTTGGGAGTTTAAACACATGATGGCTGTATCGCAGAATTTCTTCATGTCTAGTCTTCAGGTCCGTTACAGATCTCAGTGTTTGTGGAAAACTACTTTTTAAATTCAGGAGGGCTATCCCAGGAGGCTTCTTGATGTGCTAACAGTATTGTGAAACTTGTTTATCTTTTTTTTTTTTCGAGGCCGGAGAAATCTATTGGTTAAGTGCTTGAAGCTTTTTATCTTCAATTTTTTACTGTACCAGAATTGCCCCAGTAAAGATAAGAAGAAAGCGAGGGACCTAGATCGTGCTTATTAAAAAGCAATCAGGTGCTATTGCTGTAGAATTAGCAGAATTAGCCTGTGTTTTGATAACTTTAAACTTTCCTGGCTTGACCACGGAGTACATTAGAAATAGCAGGTTGTGTATTTCGTTGCACTGGGATGTCTTTGGTGTGGTCTGTTAATTCAACAAAAGAGATGTTTCTGTTTGTGAGTAATACTTACACTTGAAGCTATGGGATTTAATTTAAATGGTGTTTCATAATGACACAATCCTGCAGTACTCGTGCCTGGAGGCATCAAACCTGTTGAGATGCAAATCAAGCAGGTTTTTGCCAAGTGACTCTGAACCTGTCTTCACCTTCCCAGGTTGCAGCACACTTATCCTGTATTTTGACTATTGGTTAAAGAAAAACCTTGCTTGTAATAGAAAAACGTACACATGCAAACAGTATTGAGAAGTTTATATAATGTGAAAGGGAAAAGAAATGCAAACTGGTTCGTGTTTTAATATCTTCTGTTCTGTCTCGCTGAAGGAATTTGTGTCTTGGGACGTTAAGGAAAAAAGGCTGTAGCAAACATATGTCCCAGCGTAACAGTTCCTACAAAATTGTTATCATTTGTAATAAGGCATCTACGGTACCCTTTCTCCATCCATTAGTGTCTTGCAAAGACTAATACTGATGTAACTGTTACATTCATTTCACTAATTGGGAAAAGGAGGGGCAGGATGTCCCTAAGCTGTTATACAGAACCTCTTGTTCTTCCTTTAGCTCCTAGCCCAGTGTTTAGAATAGATTTGCTATGTATTGTTTTCCTCTCTTCTGGTTCTTGGGTTGGAGACTTGTCTTAGCTATTTCTTCTTGAAAATAGAGCATTTTGGTTTCAGACTCTTCCTTTCTCTTCCAGGTGTTATTTTTGCACCTTATGGCCCTGTCTGGAAGCAACAGAGAAAATTCTCTCTCGCGACGCTGCGTCATTTTGGAGTAGGAAGACACAGCCTAGAGCCTAAAATCATCGAGGAACTGAAGTTTATAAAGGAGGAAATGCTGAAGCATGGGAAGGAGCCATTTAACCCCTTCCCCATCATTCGCAACGCGGTGTCCAATGTTATCTGTTCCATGGCCTTTGGCAGGCGTTTCAACTACGAAGATGATGAGTTCAAGACGATGCTGAAGAACATGGCCCGCGCACTAGAGCTAAGTGTGAACAGCTATATGATCCTGGTCAATATCTGCCCTTGGCTTTACTACCTCCCCTTCGGGCCTTTCCGGGAACTTAGGAAAACAGAATTAGATATTACTGCTTTTCTAAAGAAAATAATTGCACAGCACAGGGACACACTGGATGCAGCAAATCCCAGGGACTTCATTGATATGTACTTCATCCATGCGGAAGAAGAAAAGAACAACAAGGAGAGCAGTTTTAATGAAGACTACCTGTTTTTTATCATTGGTGACCTCTTCATTGCAGGCACAGACACTACTTCCAACACATTACTGTGGTGCCTGCTCTACATGTCTCTCTACCCAGAAGTACAAGGTAAGACTATTTTTATTCTAGGCGTTTTATTTCAAACTGTAAGAGTCTAGATCAATGTTCAGAAACAGAAGCAAACAGCAACAGTAGAGAAGTCATTTGAAGTGCAAATAGTACATGTGTACATGTAATTTGAAAAGTTAATATGTAATTAGGCATGTGTCGTGCTCTGCTATGATAACCTCTGGGTTAGTGCTATATATTAACTATCAAAATTGCCCTATCTTTCTTTATCTTGCAGTATCTTTCCCAAGCAATTCCAGGGAACTTTAGCATGTTTCAAAAACTTTGGAAATTGTGGCATTCCAGGCATGTAGTACTGACATAAGATATGTGAGATACCTAGTGATAAGGTCTGGTTTTATGCCTCCCCGAGCAGGGAGGTTCTTGAGCCTGACGGTGGGGTCTGGGGAAGTAAAACACTGCCCGCTGTAGAGGAAGATCAAATTAGAGACAGCTTAAGCAAATTGGACTTAGACAGATCCATGGCCCTAGCTGCTCAATGTCATTGCAAGGCCTTTCCCCATCAGTCTTGAACAGTCATGGCAGTTGGGTAGGTTGCTGATGACGGGAGGGTGGGGGAAAGACACATGGAGCATGTGGCCCCCGAAGAGAGGCAGAAGGAACTGGACTTGGTCAGGGTTAGGGAGGGATGACTGAGGGGAGACCTTATGTCATCCACAACTACCAGATCAGAAGATGCTAAGAAGACAAGAAAATTCTGATGAGGTACTAGGAAAAAAATAATCCCCTGTGAAGATAGTGAGGATTGCAACAGATTGCCCTGAGAGATAACAGAATCTCCGACTGGGGGAGTATTCAGAATTCAGTGGGTTATGACCCTGAGTAGTCTGATCTACCCCCAGAGTTGGATCTAACTTGGAAGATGATTTTGCTTTGAGTAGGAGTTTAGATCAGAAGACCTCCAGAGATTCCTTGCAACCCAAATTATTTGATGGTGCTATGAGCTGGTTACTGTTGGTGACAGAGTTCGAGAAACTGACTTGTAGATTTTTGTGGATATAAAAAACACTAGTGGTGGTGGGGTGGTTACAATAATAAAATAGTACTTGGTACACTTGCATTTCAGGACTTCTTAGCATAAATTTCCACTGCCAAAGACTTAAAATTAATTTTGGTTAAATATTTTTCTACACTGAGTCTTGTTACAGTACATATGGTTGCAAAGCCAGCATTTTTATTCATACTATTTAGCAACTTTGGAGGGTTGAATTTAAGAAGACTAAAGCAATTGATTTATTAATTTGTCAGCAGCTTCTCCTAAAGTCCTATGTAGCAACTGATTTCCACTAGAAAGATTGTCAAGTATATGCAAACTGGAAGCCTTAACAGGATGCACAGATTCTACTTAGGTAATTCTACCCCAGTTTATAGTAGTGAAACATTTCCCAACGAGACCACTGCTTTGCCCAGACTTCTTGCTAACCTGGAGTGAGGAAGGGCAAACCTCAAGTTATCTAAGAACAATATAAACCTGGAATACTTTTATCGAGTATTTGAGATTTGGAGGTTTTTCATGCGCTGCAGCTGTTTTGCAGATAAGCAAATAGATATTTGGTGACAGCACCTCTCTGTCTGGAATAATCTCTTTAAATAGGTCAAGATCGTAGTTTACTGCAAAAAGTCAAACAAATTGTTGAGCAAAGATTGCAAAATAGGGCATCAGTTCCGTGTATGGGAGAGAGAGTTTCCTGGGGACAAATGTAAAATAAAATTATATTGTATAGGCTTATTATTCTGTTTTTAATGGTTGCGTGTTATCACTGCTTGGTTTGATGTGCAGTTACATGAATTAGGTATGTTCTAAATTACACAAATGAGATCTAAATTACACAAATGAAGAGTTTTGTGTTCCCTCTTTTTTTAACCCCTTTTCTTGCTGCCTGGTACTGTACATGCATGGACTAGTCAGTTTTCTCTCTTCTGCTGATCTCTAACAGTTTTATCGCCTCTTTCTGTTTTCCTCATTCACAGAATCATAGAATTGTGTAGGTTGGAAGGGACCTTTGAGATCATGTAGTCCAACCATCAACCTAACCCTGATAAAAACCATCAGTTAACCATGTCTCTAAGCACTGGGTCTACCCGTCTTTTAAACACCTCCAGGGGTGGTGCCTCAACCACTTCCCTGGGCAGCCCATTCTAATGCTTAATAGCCCTTTCTGTGTAAAAATTTCTCTTTCCTCATGCTTTGGCTGTTGTCAAACAATATGAATAAGATCAGTAGTCCAGAGTGTATCACTTAACTCTGTAATGTGGTTCTAGTGGCTTCTGGTATCCCGTCATATTGTGTAGGCTTATTATTCTATTTTTAAAGGTTGTGTGTTATCACTGCTTGGTTTGATGTGGAGTTACATGAATTAGGTATGTTCTAAATTACACAAATGAGATCTAAATTACACAAATGAAGAGTTTTGTGTTCCCTCTTTTTTTAACCCCTGAGGAGTTTTGTGTTCCCTCTTTTTTTAACCCCTTTTCTTGCTGCCTGGTACTGTACATGCATGGACTAGTCAGTTTTCTCTCTTCTGCTGATCTCTAACAGTTTTATCGCCTCTTTCTGTTTTCCTCATTCACAGAATCATAGAATTGTGTAGGTTGGAAGGGACCTTTGAGATCATGTAGTCCAACCATCAACCTAACCCTGATAAAAACCATCAGTTAACCATGTCTCTAAGCACTGGGTCTACCCGTCTTTTAAACACCTCCAGGGGTGGTGCCTCAACCACTTCCCTGGGCAGCCCATTCTAATGCTTAATAGCCCTTTCTGTGTAAAAATTTCTCTTTCCTCATGCTTTGGCTGTTGTCAAACAATATGAATAAGATCAGTAGTCCAGAGTGTATCACTTAACTCTGTAATGTGGTTCTAGTGGCTTCTGGTATCCCGTTCCTTATGTATCCTGATTGCCTGGGAGTCGAGTATGGGCCTTTTTTTTGTTTTCTTTTCCTGGTAATATTTTTCTCTTGTTTCCTAAAGGAAGAACCTGAATTGCATAACTTTCAGCAATAGCAAATGTTGCAGACACAGAAGGGTAAACGAAGGGCTATCAGGGGGGAAAAAAATCAGAAAGAATGTATTTTTCCGTGGAAGCCAGTTGTGCTTTTTACATGGAAAAAGAAGGGTGGGTGTGTGCGTGTGCATGCATGTGGGGAGGCAGTGGGGAGTATTTGGTTTAGTCTGTTCCCTGACTTGCTTTTGGTCTTTGACTTCTGAAGATCTGTGAGGTTTTTAAACATATGAAGTGTAATGGAGCAGTTCAAACAACATGCTGTTAGCAGAGAACTCTTGAAGTCTATGTTTTTGCAGTTGGTAACGTGAGCAGCAGTTTGGCTACTTTCTGTGCAGTTCCACATATGGTTACAAACTCTGAAGAAACGTTGTTCAGGATGAAATGCTGGTGTGACATTTGGCATGAGACAGTCTCCTTATTTATTTTTTTATATAATATTGAAAACTTTATTTGCTTAAATTACTGTGGACATGCATGCCTGAGTACAAGGCTATAATGTGTCATTAAAAAAAGTAACAAAACCCTACAAAGCAGGTACTCGAGAGCTACACCATTAGGGAATCTCTTGCTGTCAAGGTATTTTTTACTCTGTTCCTCATTTGAGAACTTGGTTTCGTAGCAAACCCAGTAGGTGGCAGCAACTGTTCGTTGAATACAGTTCTTACAGTATTTCTGAATGCTCCTCTGAAAACAGAGAAACTTTTTTGCATTGAGCTTTTATTTAATCTTGAATCAGTGCTAAGGAGAGAAAAGAGCAAAAACTCAGAGTATCAGCAACCTGGATTCTGAATCTTGGAAAATGCAAGCAGGACAACCACAAAATATTCAGGATATCAAGGGTAAGAAATGGAAACTGACTTTTTTTGGTTCTGATTAAAGGTTAATTTTGAGGTCTCCTCTTTCAAGCGTGTCTTTTGCTCTGTAGCCAGGTTCCAAGTTACCTGGAAGAAAAGGTGCGTCATCCTGTACATGGGTGAAGCAAATCTTGCATCTTGGGGACCTCTGTGAAGAGAATTCCTTGCATGCTGAGCCTTTAGTGAGATGAAAGGGGCAAACAAATATTTTGACACTTTGCACCTCACATGAATGAGAGGGAAGATGTGCTCATTAAAACTTCTGTTTTTCCTTTGCAGAAGGGCTGTGTGGGGGAAGGAGCATCTGCTGCTGCTGCCTTTTGGGGGAACTGGGAAATAGCTGAGTTTAGTTTCTGTGAACGGAAAGTAGGAAACATGATCAAGTTAAATGGCTTCAGCACTTGTAGTAACAGCACCATAACTCCTGCTCCAGAATGAAGTATCCAAAGCAGCTGCATGAAAAGCTGTCCAGTCTCTTCACTGCCTCTCCCAGTTCTGAGAACTGGATCTCCTCAGGGACAGAGGCTGGCTCAGGCATGCACTACGTGCGCTCTCTTTTTGTTGGTTTTATTTTTAATGCAGGCCAGAAGCTTGGTGTTTTCACCTTTCAAATTACTGTATAGTAAGAGTTAAACTCTTAAACTAAGATTATGAATACATTTGGAACTGGAACAGAACTTTTCCAATACAGAAGTGCTAGCAATGTGTGTCATCTCAGTAGCTTTACTCTTGAGAGTTGTCAAGATTGTGCTTGGTTATTTTGTTCTTTACTGAGTCCGTTCTTGAGGCTTATGTTGGCGTAGTTATTTCATCTACAGATCACATGTTTTGCAGTCATTTTCAAGAAACCTATGCAAACAATGAAGCATAGGCAAGTGAAATTGAGATGATGTCTTTTCACGTGTTGTGCATCTTTTTTTTATTTTTTTTTATTTTTCTTGCTCCCTTTGAATAGAGAAGGTTCATGCAGAAATTGAAGCAGTTCTAGGACGTGACAAAGTTCCTTCTCTTACCCACAAGGCTCAAATGCCCTTCACAGAGGCAACCATTATGGAAGTGCAGAGGATGACTGCGGTTGTTCCCCTTTCTATTCCTCGAATGGCCTCAGAAACTGCTGGTAAGCCTTTGTAGAGACTTCTTAAAGCAGCGTTCTTTTTGTGGATGAAGATCTGACGGGACACGCAGTGAGAATTGACAAAGACCTCATGTTAGACATGTAACCCAAGCATGTAAAATGCCAATTATAGGGAGTAGATGGGCTTGAAACACTCCTCTGTTTAAGCAGCATGTCTGACCTAACACCCGGAAGTTTTCTAACTTAGAGTGATTTCTGTTCTGGGGGTCAGCTTGTGTTGATTGATGTGCTTAGTGGTAGCTGGCAGCTGAGACTCCACCTTTGCACCTGAAACAGCAGAGTTGGTTTTGGCCATCTGACACAGAGGTCTGAAAATGTCCATTCAGAGCAATTGGTTTGCTAAAGCTTGAAAGGCTTCCACCATTGAGCTCCATATCTACAGAAAACAACAATAAATATCCTTTTCCAAGTTGTCTTGTTGGCTATGTGTTTTCATAAACGTAACTGAGAAGTGGGTAGAGTAAATGGGAGGTAGCAATACTTGGCTTTCAAACCTGGTACTGAATTGATCTGCTTTTTTAAAATGTTGTGGCTGGCAGGACAGCGAGGTGGAGCAAGCTGAAATGAGACTAGTCGCTTCAAAACCCTTTTGTGATAACAGTTCAAAATCCATCCCTCTTCCTTATCTCCACCTTCACTATATTGGGGCTGTGTGAGGGCACAGGAACAGGAGGAAACTGCCTCGCAGCACTTCCATGCAACAAGAGTGCATTTCTGATGTTTGCTGCTGCCTTTTCCCTGCAGGGAGCTGTGGCTGTAATTTCAGGTCTTTCCAGCTGCTCTGCCCTGTGTGATTCTGACCCAGGCAGGCCTAGCAGAGACCACCTTTGCCTTAAGCTGCTGCTATGTTTGCAGTCCACAGCTAGGGATCCTTATAATTTTTGTGACATCTTCCAGTCATCTTTTTAATAAGTCTCCTATATTTATTTCTAGCAGCTTGTCAGATCCTCTGTCTCTGTGCTTTTGTTTAAAGTGCTGCAGGGATATACTATTCCGAAGGGCAGCGTGATCGTGCCTAATTTGTGGTCAGTACACAGAGATCCTAACATTTGGGAGAAACCAGATGAATTTCAACCGTCAAGATTTCTGGATGAAAATGGCCAACTAATTAAGAAAGAGGCATTCATTCCTTTTGGAATGGGTAAGATATCCACGTGCAGTCCGTAGCTGGTTGGGGGTGATGGTGGTATCTCAAATGTAGGGCCTTGGAGGCGTGAGATGTAAAAGTTGGACGTAGGACCAAGTACAGAACTTGTTTTATTATTACAGTCAGTGGCTTGCAAAACGGGTTGGGTTCCTAAAGTCTCCAGTTGCCAGGCAGAAATGAGAACTGGTGGAACTGTCCTTCGATAATACTTTTGTTGTGGGTGTATATGCTGTTAATATGAAGCAGTAACAGCTGAGCAAGGCTTAGACTGAAATAGGGGAGACCAAAGCTTCAGAGTTCATAGCTCAATAGCTGGAGCCTTTCTGTGTTTGGACTGTGCTAGCGTAGGAATTGCATGTGTGTTAACGAAGGGATCAACGGTATAAAACCAGTAACACGTCTCTTCTAACTGTTCTTTAGGTAAACGTGTGTGCATGGGAGAGCAGTTGGCAAAAATGGAGCTGTTCTTAATTTTTGCAAGTCTAATGCAAAGTTTTACCTTTTTGTATCCTGAAAATGCTGCAAAGCCATCTATGGATGGAAGGTTTGGTCTAACTTTAGCTCCTTGTCCATTCAATATAATAGCTTTGAAGAAATGATATAACATCAAAAAAGATTAAACAAAGAAATGCTGCACTTCTAAAATCCAGCTTATTTTGTTTCCAGCTTATTTTGTTACTTTCTTTCCAGAAAAACACCAACCACATAGGCTTTTGTAGTCAGTGAGAATGATCCATTTACACTTCTGGAAAGAGAAGATTTTTCTTTTTTTTTGGTCAGCTGTTGCATTCCATAAATGAACTGACAGCATAGTTTGCAATTTGATATTAAAACTTGCTGGGCTTATCCCCTCTGTCTATAAGCTATTACTGTCAGTTTGTCAAATATTGATTATGGGAGAATGGTCCAAAACATCTGTTAATGCTTTAGCAAATAGTCATTATTATTTTGGTAAAAGCAGTATGTAAACGTTGAATTTACCAAATGAATGAAGAACATCATCTAATACCAAAAGGATTAATGAATGAGAGGCTCTTAGCATTTTTTGTGTAAAGAAACATTAGATCTGAACTTAAATAATGACAAATACATTTGGAAATGACTAAATGATGCTTCTTTTAACCTTGGAAGATTCTTTCTTGCAAGTAACTCATAGGTTGGATGGAATCAGTCTGCATTCTTGGATCCAAACATTCTTGACTATCAGGGCTCACTACAAACAAGCAGGTACCAACTCTAAAACCCCAGGCTTGGAGGCCAAGTGAATCCTTGAATATACCCATGTTCCTAACATGAAAGGAGTGCGCGGCGTCTGGACGCGGATGTTTCATCTCAGAATCTAAATGAGAGCAGATTTCTCTAACAAGAAACAGAAGTCTGTTCTCTGTGGTGCCAAGCAGATATTCAAGATGACGTCTGCGCTGCCACTTCGCATTCGCTGTTTTCCCCACGTCAGCAGTGACATCTTGTTCTCTGGTTGCAGCCTGGATGAGACCAACAGCCCACTCATCAAGGAGAATGCTACGTGCATCATCCTGAAGTTGGGGCTTGCACTCAGGTTTTTCATTTTACAGGTGCTGTGGCCGATACTGCCACAATCTGTTTGGTTTTGGGAACTGGAGTCTCACTTCAAATACGACGCTACAGATACAGGTCTTACACACTTGGGCGTGGAACGTGAGGAATCTGACAAGCTGGAGTTTTGAGTATAAAGGCTTTTTCTTTGTTATCTTCCATATGGAATAAAAAGGTCCTGGAGTTCAGGATTAGTGTATCACTACCATCTTCTTTTCACCTGCAAAATTGATTGCTGTTTACCACCGTCAAACCAATTGCCAAGGAAACCTGTTCTTAGGTGTTTTGGAAGGGGGCACTCAGGCTTGCCTTTTAGTTGAAAGATCTTCTCAAACATTGAAACGAGGACATGTAACAATTAACTTCTAAATAATTCTTCTCAATCATCCTTAAATATCTTTATATACCCTTTGATGTAGCAGAATTTCATATCAAATTCAATAATATGTACTCCTTTAAGGAAAATTCTTCCCCCCTCATTGAAGCTCTAGAAAACACTAGCAGTCCTCCTAATGCAGAGTTTACAAGACTAGAACGTGAAATTGACTGTGAAGTGGAATTGGATATTCCACAGCAGAAACTAAACTCAAATTGTAAAAGAAGAGTCAACTCTTCAGCTTAAATTAACCTCTGGTTTTGTGACTTTTAACTTGAAGTTTTAAAAGCCAGGTAGTGCCTAGCAAAGATTGTAAGATACTTATTTTGGATTTAAATTAAGGTTTTCTGTTAGCTGCTGTGAATAACAGAGAGGCTTAACTTCTGAATGATGTATTTGGTTAGTAAGGTTTGGCTTTATAGGTTAGCCCATGCTCATGTTAAATTTTTTCTCAGTATGAAATTTTTGAAAACCCCATAGCACAATAAAAAGTAGAGTTTGGTACCAATGTTAGAAAACTTGCACTAAAATTTGACAGTATTGGAGAAATAAGCTTTTATTTCTTTAATCTTTATTTAATGAATAAATAGATTATGTATATTAGGGAATTTTGTCTGAAAATTCTTAAAATTATGTATGCTTAATTGTAAAGCTAAAATTAAGTGCTGATAATATTTATCTTTCTGTTGAAATGCCTCTTTAAGCACCATAATGATGTTGGTGTGCAATTGATCACTTTTATAAAATACCTGTCCTTTTTAATCAATGAGGACACATGTGACAAGCACTTTAGTTGGTTGGGTTTTTTTTACAGATTCCAAAGAAGACACAATTTGCATAATTCTGTAGTATGTGGAATTGTACATATTTGTGCTCATTTTGCCTGCTGGGTTTAGTTTAAAATGTCATGTTTGAAAACTACCCTTCAAAAATTATCCTTCTACAAACAGTACTTTGAGATGCGGGTTTTAATGATACCTATAATCAAATGGTGCACAGTGTAACAAGCTGAAAATACTGATGCGAAGGTGCAACCATGTCAATGTCTGCCAGAATGCAAGATGCTGTTGGAAGTGAGAATTAAGACCTGCCTTTCATGCCTTCCAGATGCACTGAAATTTTCACAGGATGCCATGAAAGTAGCTAAACAATAGCATAAAGGCAACAAAATGTTTGTGGTTTTAAAAATGTGTTGCCATCTTCTATAAACTGTAAGTAAAGTGGTAGCAGATTTGGTTTTTATTTGTAAACGTGTCCTTCCCCTCCCTTTTTTTAGCAAAGGAAGCATCTCAAATGCCTTATTGAATAATGTATGTTTATATAAGTGGATGGCTATTTCTGAATGCTGAAAATTTCATTTCTGAAAATGACTTCAGACTTTGCTTTGGTGTAACTTTATTTTTAATAAAGTAATTCCCAAATAAGTGTTTGACAGCTTTGTATAGTCATTTGAATGAGTTCCACTTGTTGACTAAGCTTGTGGCGTTTGGTGTTTCACATCTTACAAAGAAAGCTTTTGAGTGAGAAGATGTTATAACATATCTTGGATGAGGAGTGAAGAAGGTGGGGGAATAAAGTGATACTGGGGAAAATACAATGCCAGGCATGTTATGAGCAAATTATAGAGTCTGTTCATTCTCTCAGCGCAGTTTTAAAAATACTGTTACTCAGAATAAAAGTAGGAGAGGGAAGAGTAGAGATGACGAAGATAAAAAGGGCAAATGAGTTGCCACACCAGGAGGAGATGTGCAGAACGAGGTGGGAAAGAAAACAGCAGGCAGTGTTGAGGTGTAGTTTTCTTGGACTCCTGGCATAGAGGGGTTGGAGAACGGAGGGCAGAGAGGGAGAACCTTGGGTAGGGGGCAGAGAGCTGGGGCCTCCAGGCTGGAGGGGGAGGCAGGAGATCCTTGCAGACAGAAGGGGAGGGAGGGCTGAGCAAGAGACAACTGGATCTCCTGTGGAGAAGGAGTGGGTGTGAGTGCTGGCACATATGGAGAGCTGGGCACTCTGGAGCAACAGCTGTATGTGGAAATCCTGCCTCTTACACCCTGGAGTTAGGTTGCAGGTAGCTTGGCACGGTCCTAATTTTTTTAGAGATTTCATCAACTACCTGCTCAGCTGTCATCTCTGTACACAAGGAACAGTAACTCTGAGTTGAGTAAAGCTGTTTCCAGCAGCTCCTGACTTATCTGCTGCTGCCAGATGAAGCAGAGTGAGGAAAGGGGGAAGATTTTGCGCTTTTGGTGCAAAGTGCAGAGGTATGAGAATAGTCTGCTGCTTTTCTTTGAAGAAAACAAGTTGCTTAATGTTTACCCTGATGCTGACTCAAGCAGAATATGCTGTAGCTGCCCTGTTGTCAGCTGCTGCTGACTTGAAGTGCCGGTCTTTCTGGTGATAAAGGAATGAGATGGAAAACGATGGCGGTCTGCATCTGATATGATCCAGCCATTAGTATTTCTAAAGGAAGGATTTCATTTTTTTGTTTGTTTATGTCCTGATTTGAGCAACAGGCCCCATTTCTCTTCTGATATGTGGGGAAACTGCACTTTTTAAGACTCCAGTGTCTGAATTGGTGAAAATATTTACTTCATAGCCAGCTATGTACGTGAGATTCAAAGTCTCAGTGTTTTCGAGCCTTGCTGGGTGCAGGGATGAGGTGGAGCAAGACCTGGGCGCTTGACCCAGGCTGGCCAACAGGATTATTTCACACTATGCCCGTCACATTCAATATATTTTATAAAGTTTGCTGCTTTCTCTCCCTTGATGGCAGCGGTCCAGATAATTTCTTGCCCTGGTGCTGGACCCCTGAGGCCTTTCCTTCCTCTCGAAGCCATAGCACTGGCAGCGTCCGCCATTTGCTGTCCATTGCCAGGAGTGCAATCAGCTTCCCCCTGATAGAATTGGCCAAGTATAATCTTTGTATATTTTAATTAGTATCGGGATCAATACTGGTTCTTTAGTATTGTTAATTATTTAGTCTTATTCTGTTATATCTATTTACATTTCAACCCTCGTGTTCCCTTTTTTTCCCTCAGTTCCCCGTCCCGGGTGGGGAGGGGGTCTTGGGGTGACAGAGTAATCGTCTACATGACAATGAACTGGTGCTGGGTTTCTCAAACGATATAATCTGCCTGAAAACGAAACCCCCTTCTCGTTTGGAAACACTCTCATTACAGCAGGCTTCTTGTGTGGAGAAAACGAGCTGCTGCTGCAGAAATGGGAACGTTTTGAAGGCCTATGCCGTGAAGGACAAACATGGCGGGAGCCTCTGCCTCAGACCTGCCCTCAGCCGAGCGCCGGCCCGGGGCCAGCGGGGAATTTACCTGTCCTGCGGATGGTGGGACGGCTGCTGGACTGCTCTTGAGGAACCAGAAGCGGCCAAGGTGAAGGAGCTTCTCTCTCCGGCGGCGGGGCCCGCGGGACGGCCCTCCCCGGGGCGGAGCGGCCGGCCTTTGCCCCGCCGCCGCCTCCACCTCCCGCTCGTCGCTCTCCGCCGTGCGCCGCCGCCATGGCCTTCGCCACCCGCCACTTCGTGCGCGCCGCCTCCTCCTCCTCCGCCGCCACGGCGGCCGCCAAGAAGCTGGTCGTCAAGCATGTGACGGTCATCGGCGGTGGCCTCATGGGTGCCGGCATCGCCCAGGTGAGCGCGGCCCGGCGGGGTGAGGGGAGAGGAGGGGAAGGGAGGGGAGGCGGCGGCGCCATGGCGGCCGTTGGGCGGCCGTTACTGGGCGCGTGCCGCGGGAGGCCCCCTTCACGGGCGGTTGGGGCCTGTGGTGGCCGGTCGGTGGGGTGAGATGGGGACCGTGCCTGAGGACTCTGCCCCCACAAAGGGCTCTGCGGGCTCCGCCGGCGGCCGGGGCCCCTTCCCGGGCTGTGGTGGCGGAGGAGGGAGCCGCCCCCCGCCGCTTCTTGCTTCGTGTTCTCCGGCCGATCCTGGCGTCTGCCCGTCAGAGGGGCAGGAGAGAACCGGCAAGGTCAATGCTCAGCTCAGTCCTGGGCCCCTCGCTACGAGAAGGACATTGAGCTGCTGGAGCGTGTCCAGAGGAGAGCCACCGAGCTGGTGAGGGGTCTGGAGAACAAGTCCTGTGAGGAGAGGCTGAGGGAACTGCGTATGCTAAGTTTGGAGAAGAGGAGGATGAGGGGAGGCCTCATTGCCCTCTGCAAATCCCTGACAGGAGGGTGTAGAGAGGTGGGGGTTGGCCTCTTCTGCCAAGAGAACAATGCCAGGAGCAGAGGAAATGGTCTGAAGTTGGGGCAGGGGAGGTTTAGGTTAGATATTAAGAAGAATTACTTCACTGAGAGGGTGGTCAGGCTCTGGAACGGCTTGCCCAGGGAGGTGGTGGAGTCACCATCCCTGGAGGTATTTAAGAAACGTGTGGAGGTGACACTTCAGGGCGTGCTCTAGTGCCCAAGATTGTTGGTTTGTGTCTGTTTATGGGGGTCTTTTTTTTGTGACTGGACTTGATCTCAAAGGCCCCTTCCAACCATGAAGATTCTGTGATTCTGTTTTAAGTTGGTTAAGGTGGTTCTTAAGAGGATGTGTGCAGACTGCTCATAAACCGGGCAGTGGGTAATAAATGTTTGGATAAACGTTGGGGCAAGAAAGAAGCTTCTTCTGGCTTGGCAAGGTAGCGGATCAAGTGACATTTCACAAGTTGTTAAAGTAGAATGCAGCAGCTAAAGTTAACATTTAGCTGTCAATCAGCTGTAGAATTATGAAGTGGTTAATATTTAAATGAGGCTTATTTTTCCCAGTGTTTAATCTCAGGCCTTTGGCTTTCAAGTTCATCTTTAACTCGGTAGCTTTGGGATGGAAGACTGAACAGTCCTGTAAGTAATTTAGGATTTAGGTATTTACTTAGTTCACAGAAAGGACCTGTTGCCCGAGATACCAGGGTGGTTTACAGACTTTGCAGAGAGTAACTGGAGTAGGCAGGCGTTCCCAGGTGGAAACTTGACAATGAGGTTGGAGTTTATAAATGGCAATACTCCATCATAATGAATTCATGGATTTCCATCTCAGAACTGAAGATTTCTCACATTCCTGGCAAATCTCCAACAGGAGGAATAAAGGGGCTATTTCTCTTACTGTATTTTTTTTCTCCCTAAGGAATTATATAGTTGTTTATTAACTTGTCTGATAAAAACACTTCTCTGTACCTTGGTACTAGAGCCTGAGGTTTTCGGTGAAGGAACAGAACACAACAACTTTGAAGAAAGTTGTTCTCGTGTTTGACGAAGGTACACATTGTGCAAAGGTTATAATTCTGCAGGGAAGGTGAATGGATCTGCATATTCCATTACAGTGCACGTTTTAAGAGAGCAGCATGTCAAGAGAAACACGTCTGGTATTTGGCAGTAACAGGGGTTGCAGTCTTCTACCACTGTCAAGGACCAAGGATTGTTTTGCTGACCATCTGCCTCTGATTTATCAATCCAAAATTATCTCAAAGCAGAGGTGATTGTTACACTGAGTGGGGTCTCCTCTGCACCCTGTTAATAAAGCTTCTCTTCCCCTTTAGAACTCTTAAGAAGGTGTCTCTCCTCTTTCCTTGCTTTCTCATACTGTCAGGAGAAGCTAACTTCTGCTAAAATGTATGGCTGAAAGCCAGGAGTTTGTAGTTTCTGATTCTGCCACGTGAAAAGCACTTCTGTATGAGAAGAGCATTAGGTGACTCCCCAGCACTGTTATGTTTAGTATTCTTAAGATCATTGGATCTGTTAATTTTTCTAAGATTTTTTCCCAACTGGTCAGTGATGGTATAATTGTAAATGGATAATTAGCGAAGCATCTCATAAATGTGCTTGGTGTTGATTTTTCTTCTGAAGAGTGGAGGGTCTTGCTTTGCCATTGTAAATGATCAGCAACAGATGAAGCGTTAGGAGTACAAGTCCAAGCTTGGTTTAAATGTTTTCTATGATTCAGTTGCTTTTATGAAATGGCTGTAGTGAAAATAAAAAAAAAAATTATTAAAAAAAGATGGGTAAGGAAATGTCCAGCTGCAGACTGACACCTTTTTAAAGCTATGCTGCTGCTGTCCATAGGCAATCTGGCATTTATTTGCTGGATTAGCGAGGCAACTTGGATGAAAAGGAGATACCTTTTCCTCAGGAGATGGCTCTCTATTTTTCATTTCAACTAGCTTTGTTGCAGTAGATCTTGTGGGCACAGGAGAACCTTTAGTCTCCAGATGTAAGGTTAGATGTAAAGTAAAAGTTTGCAGAAGGGATGCCTCTAAGTTGTGTGACTTCAAAAACAGTCAGTGGAACCATGTTTTAACGTCTGTTTTCCACAATTGTTAGATTACAGCTCTGTTAGTTCAAGAATTGCTGAAAATGAAGCTAGGCTGTTGCTAACTAACAAGAGAAACAAATTAAGGAGCAGTGAAGTAACAGATAACGAACAGCTGGTTTTTAACAGGCTGTTGCAATGTGAGGAAGTGACATGATATGTTTGAAATGAATTGAACACCAACCAAAAAGACAACCCAGTGATGCTGTCTGTAGCTGAGCCAGCGTTTGTACTAAGTACATAGTAAAGAGAGTTTGTGAGCCACTTGGGTCTGTGCAGAGTCCTGCAGTGTCAAACATTTCACTGCTACTCCCAGCTCCGCTGGCACCTTCCTGTTGTTGCAGTGACGTGCCCATGGCCCAACAGCAGAGCTGTGTTACGCTATGTCCTTGGGAACACAGGGTTAGCCACCCCTTATGCCACCTGCACAACCTGCCAGCATTCCAGTTTTGGTCTCCACAGCCCTTTTTCCTTACAAGATCCCAGGATCACAGTTAAGCTGCTTGCTTTCTTTTCAAGACAGCTGTTTGTTCTCTATCCATAGCTGCAGAATTCAGCTGCCTCCAGGTGCAGGTAGCAATTTGCAGACAGCTTGGAGGAAAAATTAATTTCTTTTTCTTTTTCCCTCAAGTTGTTTGAGACCTTTATCCCTTCCCCTCCACCGCAGCTGTGCACAGGTTTTTATGATTTTTCTAGTGAAGTGTGTAAGTTTTGATTCAGTGTTCTTTAGCTCTCTTTTGCCTATTTAATTGCCTAGTCTGTTGTCTGCCCCAACACAAATCAATGTGGTTGGTTGTTTCGTGATACTGATGTTGAATCTTTTTTTTTTTTTAACTTTCAGGTTGCAGCAGCCAGTGGTCACACCGTGGTGTTAGTAGACCAGTCAGATGAAATCCTTAAAAAGTCTACAAAAGGAATTGAAGAAAGTTTGAAGAGAGTGACAAAGAAGAAATTTGCAGATAAGCCTGAGGTTGACATCTTTTTTATACCTCTAGAAGAACTTAGGAGAATAAAACTACCATACTAAAGTTCTGATTTTGTTTACAGCTGTGCATTATAGAGCATGTTCATATACTGGCTTAAAAAAACCCCAGCTTTTTCCAGTGTGCTGAAGAACTTGGATTTTCTTTTCTTGATTTGTGGAGGTTGAAAGATGTCTCACCTTATTTTCTTTCCATTGTAGACTTCAGCCTTGAGACAAAGATTTAAAACAACTTGGTGACCTTTTAAAACAGATGCTAAATGTGAAATGGTGCCAAATTATTCCTCTTAACTTAATAGCAGACTATCTTTGAGCGCTTACCTGGGAATGCACCAATTTTGTCCAAAAGCAAATAGTAACAAACGTGTCTGTTACAAATGTCTCCCCTGCCCCTCAAGACTTGGGCAAGAAATTAGGTTGCAAGTTTAACTACTCTGGAGTAACATGAATTAGATGTATAAGATATTTCGCATTTACATGACTGAGTATGACTTACATGCAGCAAGTCACTGTGGAGCAGTTGATACATCTAAGGTTATATCCCAAGGGTTATTTGTTGCTATGCTTGTTTCTCTAAATTCCACAGCAGATTCAATTCTTCTTTTGATACATATTAACATATGTAATATATACTGTTATTGGTGATTACCAGCATGAATGGTTCAGCAGACAAAGGAAATGAAAAAAGGTATATTTGCAAGAGGGAGGCTAGAAGAAAAATTATAATAATAGCAGGATAATCACAGCATGCATACATAATTATGGGGGGTCTTTTAATCCAAAAGAAAATTGTCCATGTGGTGCTTGTACTTTATATATGACATTATATTCTAGTGCGCAGCTATGTTTTTACTTGTACTACGTCTCCATTTACCCTTGGTTCAAAGTCTTGCAGTTCTGTTTGATTTCTGTCCTCACAAACTGTGTCAGTGATTGACAGATTTACTAGTCAGAAAACAGAATATTTCCCCCCACATTTGCACCGAAATTGTAGTGAGTGTGGGCCATTTCATTTCCTGAAGTATTCATGAACTAGCACATACCTGTTCCTGGGAGTGAAACCAGTCTAGTGCGCAGGTATGTTTTTACTTGTACTGTGTCTCCATTTACCCTTGGTTCAAAGTCTTGCAGTTCTGTTTGATTTCTGTCCTCACAAACTGTGTCAGTGATTGACAGATTTACTAGTCAGAAAACAGAATATTTCCCCCCACATTTGCACCGAAATTGTAGTGAGTGTGGGCCATTTCATTTCCTGAAGTATTCATGAACTAGCACATACCTGTTCCTGGGAGTGAAACCAGACAATCACCGAAGGAAAAAAATGCAAAAGTTTGAAACTGGAAAAGTTCCTCTTTATGGAGGGCAAGCCCAGGTTGTCTCAGAAACTACTGATTGACCAACCAGTTGTTCACTCAGTCTCTTATGCTGAAGGTTGGACTGCAGCAAATAGTCTTCCTCAAAGAATTAATTCAAAGGTCTCCTATTTGCTCCAAAGCAGATTTGATTGGCTTAGAAAATTTTGTTAGTGAAAGCATTGTATCTGCACATACTTAGAACTTTTTCACTGATTTGGAAATTGTGGCAGACTGCCTGAATTTTTGAGGACTCAGAAACACTTCAGAGCATGTAAGGGGATTTTCATGTAATATAAATTAAGTCATTGTAAATAGACATTGCAACTTCTTGGAAATGTTTCAGGCCGGTGCTGAGTTCATTGAGAAGACCTTAAAGAACCTCTCAACAAGCACAGATGCAGTAGCAGTGGTCCACAGCACGGATCTGGTGATAGAAGCCATTGTGGAGAACCAGGAAATTAAAAACGAACTCTTCAAGAGGCTGGATAAGTTTGCTCCAGAGTAAGTGTATTTTTCCTGTTACATTTTGAAATCTATTCATAGGAGTGAAACCAGACAATCACTGAATGAAAACAATGCAAAGGTTTGAAACTGGAGAAGTTCCTCTTTATGGAGGGCAGGCCCAGGTTGTCTCAGAAACTACTGATTGACCAACCAGTTGTTCACTCAGTCTCTTATGCTGAAGGTTGGACTGCAGCAAATAGTCTTCCTCAAAGAATTAATTCAAAGGTCTCCTATTTGCTCCAAAGCAGATTTGATTGGCTTAGAAAATTTTGTTAGTGAAAGCATTGTATCTGCACATACTTAGAACTTTTTCACTGATTTGGAAATTGTGGCAGACTGCCTGAATTTTTGAGGACTCAGAAACACTTCAGAGCATGTAAGGGGATTTTCATGTAATATAAATTAAGTCATTGTAAATAGACATTGCAACTTCTTGGAAATGTTTCAGGCCGGTGCTGAGTTCATTGAGAAGACCTTAAAGAACCTCTCAACAAGCACAGATGCAGTAGCAGTGGTCCACAGCACGGATCTGGTGATAGAAGCCATTGTGGAGAACCAGGAAATTAAAAACGAACTCTTCAAGAGGCTGGATAAGTTTGCTCCAGAGTATGTGTATTTTTCCTCTTACATTTTGAAACTTAGACCTCTGTATTGTCTATTTTTATTCTTACACCATTAGTTCTGCATTTTCTTAGCTGCTTTTTTAAAAAAATAGTTTTTCTCCTTTAGACTAACTCCAGACTGTCCTGTGGTATGGAATAGTTGTTGTGTCAGGTGCATATCTTACAAATAATTTCAGGTGTATTCGCCAGGCTTATTTACTTGCTGCATTGCTTCATTTGAGGTGCTCTTGAGTTTATTTAGTCATAGTTTGCTTGTCCATCTACTCAGCAAGTTTAAATTTAAATCCAAACGCAAATGTGCAACAGTAGAATAAGTTTGTCCTGGTACACGTGGGGTATGGTTAATGTATGTGTTCCCGTATTTAAATAGGGAATTGGGATGATCCAGTGTTTGTTTTCTGTGCACCTGGCATGAACAAGTGTTAAGCAGTCCCAGCCTCTTAGCTGTAATTCACAGTCAGCTCAACAGTGGCTTAAGTGAGCTAAGTTTACTTTTGTATTATAACACGATGTTTGGAAATAGTTCATTGCTGGTTATTAAATACCTCATTGTGTGAGGTAAAAGTGTAAATAATTTCTTAGCATACACTCAGTTACTTACAGTCCCTGGAGCTTTCTTATGACTATATTTGGTAACTGTTGGAAGTTACTCTTGAATTGTATCCAAACCCAAAAATGCTGTTAAGATGAGCGTGCAGTCTCGGAAGCTTGATCCTTGTCATGGATGACTCAGGATCACAAGACCTTGAGTGGTTGCAGGTTGAGGCTTTAACTAGAACAGCTAAATCTGGGGGTATTGGCTAAGAGGCATTACCTAAAGAACTAGGCAAGCTGCAGCTTGAATGTAATGTCAAGGGAGAAAAGATGTTATCATTAGTTGACTTCAGCCTGGGGAGATCTTCAGGCTGTCTCATATGGTCATTAATCAAAATTACCTGGTACTTCTGAAAACAATAAATGATTATAAACAGCTGTGCACTGAGCACAGGATAACTTGCCATTACCCTCAGTCTGCCAGGCAAAAGTAGCTGCCTTCAGCAATTAGCAGGGTTCTTTGCCATGATTAAATTGTCCTTATTTTATGAAAACAGAACATTGGTTGCCTGAGTCTTTGTCCATATTCAGCAGAGAAAGCTAATGAACAAATTAGAGTGTACTAAATGGTAAACTGTCTAGAACCAGTTAGCAAGAAAAAGTGGGCACAGGGACTTGGAGTCTAATTTAATAATATGTATATTTGGAACACCTGAGGCTATTTTTCATAATGCTGAGCTGTTTATAAGCATAGCTGCCTCGAAACATCAAATTTTACATTACAGACTGTTGAAAGGTACTGGGAGTTGTTCAGATAGGCTCCCTTCTGTGGCAAAAGGCATGGTTTTGCAAGGTTGGGAAAAAATGACACTAGACAAGAAGCCCTCCTTTTTAAGAGGAGAATTGGAAAGGATGACAAACACACAGATATCTTACATGTAGGATAAAGAAAAGGGAAGTGAATGGTGAAGAATATGGGTTGCAGTGTACTAGGTCTAGATGAAAAGCTAGTAAAATAGTGAAATTTAGTAGCCAAGTGTTTAAAATATTAGCTATTAGGTACAAAGGATAATTTGTAATTATGTGAGGAGTATAGAGTTGCTGATGGTGTGAGTAGCGTGGGGGAAAGCAGAAATGTCTAGTGAGTGTTCTTTTGTGTGTTAGAAGGAAACAGCAGGCTTTGTTCATCCCACACGGCACTACGGTGGAGTGAAAGCTCTCCTATCAGGGCAGGCGTCCTACAACCTTCTCTAAGAATCAACATTTTAAAATTTCTAAAACTATTCTATGGACTAACTGTTGCGTCGGTGTAATGGGGGTAGGGGACTTGTGGGTATAGCTTTGAGAATTTGGAGGAGCTTTGCTTCTGTGGGGCCCTGGGTGTTGATGGCACTGTGAAGTGTAGGTTATAGGCAGAGATCATGACAGACCAGGCTTCTGAGGAGGGAGGACTTCTCTTAATTAAAATCTTGTGACTTAGTGCAGGGGTAGCTGATAGCTGATCAAAACGTAAGGGGTTGTGTATTACAGTTGCTCGGACAAGATGGTGATTTGTACCTTTGGAACATGAGCTTGTGTGAAACTGTGCATTTTTCTTCTTTTGTATTATATCCCATGTCTCATGTCCTTCCTCAGCTGCCAGAGCTACATTTTTATCTCCCATTTTGCATTATGAAGACCTTTCCAATGAAGATAAGTCTGAGGACAGCACAAAACCAAAGCATTGCATTGAAAAACCAAAACACAGTTAACTTAGTTTCTCTTCCTTTTTCTCTCTAAAAGAACTGTAGTTCCTCGGAAAGTGAATCTGTAAATGGAGGGAGATGGGAAAGCTGTTCTTTATTGAGAGAAGTTTTATTCAAGGGTGAGGAGTGAATTTCTCTCAAGTTTTCAGAGAAAATGTTGTGAGGTGGAAGAGTTTGGCAACCCCAGAGAGCATTGGGAACTCAGGGTGTTCCGCATCTGGGTAACTACCAGCTCAGGTGAAATGGTGAGTGCTGTTTCTTGGATGCCATCAGTGTGAGAGCACAATAGTTTACATTCTTAGGGCTTTGCAAAATTGCCTGTGTATGTTGTATTCCTCTTAGTGTGGTAATTGTTACTGTGTTATGTGGTCATCATCTTCAGAGCAGGCGATAAAGCATTGCTATCCACTCTTTAGTTCTGTTTTCCTTGTCTTGAATCGAGTCAGTCTCTCTTTGAAAAGGTCAGGGTAGGGTTTTTGTAGAATATCCCCACGTTCTCTGTGGCTTTTAGGCATTTAAAGACTGCAGCGCTTTTCCAAACAGAATCATAATGAACGTGACGAAAGAATTTTCGGATATTCACTTTAAGAGCCTGTTTTCTGTTTATTTCTGGGTGGTGGGAATGCTCGTCAGCATCTCTTAGTCTAGGGTTTATCTTTAGATGTGGCAACTTGGCTAGGAACTGGCTAGTGGTTTTCAGCTCTTCACTGTGTTAGAATCAGTGAGAAAAAATATAAAATATAAAACCGTTACAAAGGAAGTGTTGTTCAGTGTTCACTGTGTAACGGAGCTGGATTGTAAGAGGCAGTTTTATTGAAATGGAATGTGTCTCTTGTGTCGGACTCTGTTTTTAATACCTTCTCCTGACCCACTAGATGGCACCAAGAGAAAGCACACTGGTGTCTGGAAAAGTGTCACTAGGGCTTCACAAGTACTGGTGCTTTCAAAAGCCTTCCAACTCTGCTGTCACCTGAAGCATGCATTATGTCACAGAGGCATGTAAATTCTATTTTAAACTCTATTTAAATCAGTTGGTTGGTCAGAGCAGAAAGTGTAAATAAATTTCCCTTGCACACAACATAAATGTAATGCTTGTTTCCCCAAGGCTTTACGTTGCGTGAGGCTACAGTACTCGCCCCCAGAAGTGACACTGAGATAAAGTAAGAGATTTTAAGTGAGCCCAGATATAAACAAAAGTAATGATTACATCTCACAAATCAATGCCCTTAATTTTTACATCAATATTTGAGTTACTTGTAAATAATGGCAGATTTACAGGGAATATAAGTTTATTTTAAGTTTATTATTTGACCTTGCAAGGGAATATATTCCTTACAGGGAATATAAGTTTATTTTAAGTTTATTATTTGACCTTGCAAGGTCAAAACTATGAAATGCAGCATACTCTTTTAGTACCCCACCTCAGAACAGTATAAGGCCCACTTTATGGTGGGGAAATAACAAAAGAATATTTGTAAGAAATGTAAAGAGGAATTCTCAGGATTTTTTATTTCCTGCTCCTTAACTGAGTCTCAAAAACTGAGAAAACGTAATAAAAAATGGAAATTTATGTGGGTTCTTTTATCCCCAAATGTTTTCTTTTAATACCATTATAAGATGTCTCCATGGCTTGGACATAACTTTTCTGAAAGCTTTGTTGCAAAGCTTAATTATATCTTAGTGAAATGTAAACAAAATACCAATATAGATTAACATTTGATGAGTCCAGTAGGGTAACTTTTTGAAAGGTCAGTAAGATACAGCCCAGAATGGATGGGCAGAGTTTAATCTCTAACATAGTTTCTGATTTTTGTGGTTTGAAGAAAAAGCCATTTCTGTAAGCTTTTGGTGAGATGTCAGTGTAGCAGGGCTGTTGGGGTTCTGAGATATAAGTAAATCTGGTTTCTGTCTGGAAAAGAACTTCATATATGTCTTAAAATTCTTGTCATTTTGTGTATTTTGTGCAGTGTCCTATGCACAGCAGTTTTTGTCTTTTCTCTGGTTTTTTGTTCCATCAGCTCTTTGCTCTGCTGGTAGGTTTGCTCATCATGTCTACCATTGATCATTATAAAAAAAACACAAGTTACTTGTAAATAATGGCAGATTTACAGGGAATATAAGTTTATTTTAAGTTTATTATTTGACCTTGCAAGGGAATATATTCCTTACAGGGAATATAAGTTTATTTTAAGTTTACTTTTGGATGCATTGACCTTGCAAGGTCAAAACTATGGAATGCAGAATACTCTTTTAGTACCCCACCTCAGAACAGTATAAGGCCCACTTTACGGTGGGGAAATAACGAAAGAATATTTGTAAGAAATGTAAACAGAAATGCTCAGAATTTTTTATTTCCTGCTCCTTAGCTGATTCTCAAAAACTGAGAAAACATAATTAAAAAATGGAAATTTATGTGGGTTCTTTTATCAAAACTATGAAATGCAGCATACTCTTTTAGTACCCCACCTCAGAACAGTATAAGGCCCACTTTATGGTGGGGAAATAACAAAAGAATATTTGTAAGAAATGTAAAGAGGAATTCTCAGGATTTTTTATTTCCTGCTCCTTAACTGAGTCTCAAAAACTGAGAAAACGTAATAAAAAATGGAAATTTATGTGGGTTCTTTTATCCCCAAATGTTTTCTTTTAATACCATTATAAGATGTCTCCATGGCTTGGACATAACTTTTCTGAAAGCTTTGTTGCAAGGCTTAATTATATCTTAGTGAAATGTAAACAAAATACCAATATAGATTAACATTTGATGAGTCCAGTAGGGTAACTTTTTGAAAGGTCAGTAAGATACAGCCCAGAATGGATGGGCAGAGTTTAATCTCTAACATAGTTTCTGATTTTTGTGGTTTGAAGAAAAAGCCATTTCTGTAAGCTTTTGGTGAGATGTCAGTGTGATATAAGTAAATCTGGTTTATGTCTGGAAAAGAACTTCATGTATTTCTTAAAATTCTTGTCATTTTGTGTATTTTGTGCAGTGTCCTGTGCACAGCAGTTTTTGTCTTGTCTCTGTTTTTTTGTTCCATCAGCTCTTTGCTCTGCTGGTAGGTTTGCTCATCATGTCTACCATTGATCATTATAAAAAAAACACATAGATTCCAAATTTTTCTTAAGGCTTCAAAGAGCATTTTTGACATGGCAAAGGACTGGGTTTCCATAGATGTGTAAATGATTAACAATAAAAAAAAATACCATTAGATTTCCAAGATTGCTGAAGAAATTACTTGGAATGTTTTTGGGGAGTTAACAAAAATTTCCTAGTTACAGAGTCTTTTTTTTTTTTTTTTCCCCATCACCTAATATAAGTATTCAACACACTTAGTCAGGAATGAAAATCTCATACAGCCTTTCCAGTGGTTATTTCATCATTGCTGTAAACTTCTTCCTCAGCAAAAGAACCATGATAACCAGCAGGGATATTTCTGTGGTTAGCCAATGGTTGTCTGTTTATGTTGAGCGCATCAGTCTCCTACTACCAGAAAAATAACTGTTATTTATGCAATCTATATGTTTTTTTTTCCAGGCATACGATATTTGCAAGCAACACGTCATCCTTGCAAATCACACAGTTGGCTAACTCAACCACCAGGCAGGACCGATTTGGTGGTCTCCATTTCTTCAACCCTGTGCCTATGATGAAGCTTGTGGAGGTAAGTGTCTTACATCATCATCATCATCATCATAACCGCCATAGCACAGCAATGCAATTGTCATCACTAAAAATTCAGTTAGATGAAAGAATAGATCTGTCTGCACATTTTCTGATATGGAATGAGCTACCTGTAGTGCTAAGAGGGTGGTGCAGTCTCTGTTGAGGGACAGGTGGAACAGACGAGGCAACTCCTTCAGTCTCCAGGCTCCAAAGTTCTCCACTGAACTGCCAACAGAGGTGCCATTTATAGTGATCAGTTCAGGCATGCAGGCAAGCTGATTAATAAGAATTACTGATAGCTTAAATAAAATCATCTGATGACTGACAGAAGAATTTGATTGTTACCAGTGTAGAAATCGATAGAAAATGACCTGGGATGAAATCTTACTGCCTTGTAACTTTCAAAACAAAGTCAGTCGTGTTTGTTTCAGTGTTCCAGATGATTTCTCTGTAAGTATTGCAATATTTCCCAGCCTTTAAGGAAGTGTAAAAAGAAGTTTTTACATAACTCTTTCAGCCGTCTTTTCTAAACATAGTCTTTTTGGCTACATCATGCAATTTCTAATAATACTGCAATTAACATAGTTTCTAATTATTTGTGGTTTGAAGAAAAAGCCGTTTCTGTAAGCTTTTAGTGAGATATCAGTGTAGCAGGGCTGTTGGGGTTCTGAGATATAAGTAAATCTGGTTTATGTCTGGAAAAGAACTTCATGTATTTCTTAAAATTCTTGTCATTTTGTGTATTTTGTGCAGTGTCCTGTGCACAGCAGTTTTTGTCTTGTCTCTGTTTTTTTGTTCCATCAGCTCTTTGCTCTGCTGGTAGGTTTGCTCATCATGTCTACCATTGATCATTATAAAAAAACCACATAGATTCCAAATTTTTCTTAAGGCTTCAAAGAGCATTTTTGACATGGCAAAGGACTGGGTTTCCATAGATGTGTAAATGATTAACAATAAAAAAAAATACCATTAGATTTCCAAGACTGTAAGTATTGCAATATTTCCCAGCCTTTAAGGAAGTGTAAAAAGAAGTTTTTACATAACTCTTTCAGCCGTCTTTTCTAAACATAGTCTTTTTGGCTACATCATGCAATTTCTAATAATACTGCAATGCAGAGCAGAATTAAAAATAATCTGTTACGACCATTTATCTGAGCCTGCAAAGTAAAGGTCACATTGCAGAAAAAATGACAGGTCTCTTCCTTTTTCTCACCTTCTCCTGTTATGGCTGACCTTCATTAACTAGGATTTAAAGTAAATAGGAGTAAGTGAAAATGAATTTTGCATTTTGGCCACTTGGCACCATAGTTTCGTGTACTTCATGCCCTTAAATGCTGTAAATATACTAATCTCATGAGTGATTAGTTCTAGTATTGCTTTGGTGACAGGCACTTCAAATATGTCATGCCTGCCTTTTGAACTCCTGAGCTGCACTTTATCATGTTTTTTGCTTGTTTCCCATTAAAAAAACATATTATGCACTTCCTTGCTCTGTGTCTTTGAATGTATCATTCTCTTCCTCCACCTTTTGAAATGTTTGAACCTCTTGGCTGAAATGAACAACTTTGATTCAGAGTATGGTTGTCTGATGAGGGCTCAGACACTTGCAAATTGTTTCTCACTAACTTCGGTACACCCATGGGCTTCTTTTTTTTTTGGTTTAATATTGCATCCTGTATACTTCAAATATGTCATGCCTGCCTTTTGAACTCCTGAGCTGCACTTTATCATGTTTTTTGCTTGTTTCCCATTAAAAAAACATATTATGCACTTCCTTGCTCTGTGTCTTTGAATGTATCATTCTCTTCCTCCACCTTTTGAAATGTTTGAACCTCTTGGCTGAAATGAACAACTTTGATTCAGAGTATGGTTGTCTGATGAGGGCTCAGACACTTGCAAATTGTTTCTCACTAACTTCGGTACCCCCATGGGCTTTTTTTTTGGTTTAATATTGCATCCTGTATATAGTGACTAAATGATCTGGGGAATCTTGTAAGGAGGAAAGGGAGAAATTTTGTAGGTGTTATCAGAGATAACAAATCTTTAGTGTAATTCCTTTGGCTTTACTGATTTCTGCGCTAAGAGCTACTCGTTGGCAGTAGTTTATTTCTATGGATGAAATGTTCTCTGCCTTGTCTCAAGCCTAAAATAAATCAGTCTTTAGAAAACTAAACTAAGCTTTTGTGAGATTTGACAAATACTGAAGATATCTATCATTGTTTGTGAAAACCGAAATATAGCAATCCCTGTCCGACTGCTGTGGTCAATCTTTATAATTTGTGAGTTTTTTCACCTGACTTATGAATGTCCTAGCCCAGAGTCACTCCAGTTGATGAGTGTTATTTGGAGAACTTTCAAACACAGAAGATAGGCTTTTAGTGACTTCATCTTGAAAGGCGCCAATATTAGTAAATAAATACACTTTTTAAAGCTTTGCTTTTGTTCCAGATCTACTGCTGTAAATTGGGATTGGCATTGACGAACAATGTAGAACAACATTTTCTATGTAAAACAGCTGCTTCACTTTGAAATAATCAGGGGAAAATCAAGAGAATTGCCCAAACAATGAAAGATGTTACTGAAATTGCCAGTCATCTGTCATGGAAGCTGTCCTTCACGGCTCACAAATCTGCAGTGCCTTTGAGTCTTATCTGCTCTCTTCATAGTTTCCTGATCTCATGCTCAGAAGCACATAACTTTGAGGGGATTGCTTTCTCTAATAATCCAAAAGGCTAGTGCTAATGTTTCAAAATTCTGAAGTGTATATTAAAACCTCATTCTTGAAACTTTTACAGTCTTATTTAAGTATTTCAGATATTTTTATCTAATATCAAAGTAAAAGAACACTATTTTTTCTGCTGAGAAACAAGCCTTTTCCTCAGTTCTAACAGTGGGGGGTTTTTTGTGTTGGCCTTACAACAGTCATTAGGATGAGGGAAATCTCTGTGTGACTGAATTGTATGAACAAGGTGGTCAGCCTTAACTGCTTACGTGTAGCAGTTTTTAATAACTGTACATGGAGACAGGTTCAACACAAATATCACAACCAGTTCAGCTTCTGCAAGTCTTTTTTTTGTGTTGGCCTTAAAACAGTCATTAGGATGAGGGAAATCTGTGTGTGACTGAATTATATGAACAAAGTGGTCAGCCTTAACTGCTTATGTGTAGCAGTTTTTAATAACTGCACATGGAGATCAGGTTCAACACAGATATCACAACCAGTTCAGCTTCTGCAAGTCTTTTTTTCTTTCTTTTTTTTTGGGGGGGGAGGGAGAGTGGGGTTAGGTCTCTAATAAATAACTTAATGCATTCCAATGCCAGTGAAGTATAGAAAATACTACATGTGACAAAAGACTCAGTTTTGAAGAAAAATCAACATAGAAACATGCTACTCAAAAGCTAAGAAGCTGTCGCAAATTTGAAAGATAGGTTTTAAATTTTCTTTAGAATTAAATGTCTGTGTTGTAACATCTACCCTCTGCCCAGTGTAAACACAACCCTTGATATCAGGAACTTTGTCTGTTAATATGGTTCTCTAGAGTGATGCCATCATGTTTCCCAAGTCAACAGAGGCTGCGTAGCTTTTAAAGTTGTTCTGTTGTACTATAATCTCTAAATGTGATTCCAAAGGATGTTCCCTTTTACCATCCGTACTAGCTGTGTGGGAAGGTGTCTTCAAGAAAGATATAATTTCAAAATGTGTAAAATGCTGCATCTGTCGTTAGAATAGATTTCTATGTCTGTTACATATGTATCCACTGAAATTGTTTTTTTGCAAAACAGTTGTTTTCTGAATTTCTGGAATATTGTTTTGGATTAGTTTAATCACTGCTGTACTGGGAAATGAAAGAGATTCTGCTCATAAATGTGCTTACACTCTCCCTACCTTCCCTCTGCCCAGGTCATCAAGACTCCAATGACCAGCCAAAAGACTTTTGAATCGCTTGTGGATTTCAGTAAAGCAGTAGGAAAGAGTCCTGTCAGTTGTAAGGTGAGTCCATTTTAGTTGTGGAGTGTTTAGAAGGTCTGCTCTTGAGCACTTCAAATGTTAAGGTGGTAGGTTTTAGTAGATGTAAGAGCACTTCAAGAATTTGCAGGCTACTTTTGGATGTTGGATGTTTTGCGGTTGGATGAATCCTCAGTGGTGTGTGCTCACTGCTCACTGTTTTTCTTAAGACTGCAGTAACTGGACACATATTAATCTTCATTGCTTTGCAGCTTTGGGTTTTTTCTCTAGAGGAACACCCTACTTCCTAAGCACACTTTTTCCGAATCCATTAAGTTGTGGTCTGGGTAGCTTTATGCAAGCTATTGCCTTGAGTTTCACAGCCCCCAGGAGACATTTGGTCATAAAAAGAAGGGCCTGAAATCTGGTAGTTACCAGGAATTCAGTGTCTGGGTGCTGGACTCTAATTCTGGCTTACTGCTAAATTGTTCTGTGGCCTTAGTTGACCTTTTTCCTGTTACTGTCACAGTTTTGCAGTATGTAATGTGCAGAACATATCATGAATATATATGAATTATTGTTATAAATTAGCTTGGATCAAGGGTAATGCAGTCTTCGTGTCTGAACCTTTTGGTTTTTTCTTTTTTGTTTTTAAATACCTATTTGTAGAAGAAAAGGTGCTTGCAATTCTCCGGATTAAATATTGAGATAAAAATGGAATGAACATCTGAATCAGTAATGTTATATGAATAATGCTATATTTGCAAAACTCTTTCTCATTTTCTTTGTATTTTTGATTTTGATTAAAGCTTGTGTAAGAGAAGTTCTGTATCAATTTGTTACCTTCTTCTGACAGCACGTATCTTATATTTTCAATGATAGTATTGGTGTTTGCTGTTGAAGTGATCCTAACTTTCAAAAGCATGGTTTATTATTGAGCAGTGGGGGTGATGTAGACTATTTAGCCAGGAGTATTTCTAGTAGTGAACACAGAAAAAAAACCCGTTATGGGAGAACTACACTTCTCAGATCCTTTAGGAAATTGTATCAGGAGAATTTTGCTAAAGAAAAGGCATTTGCCAACTGGCCACATGAAATTGTTTTGAGATGAATTGAGTTGGGCTTGTAGTAGTCTTATTGTTCTCAGTCATGATGGATGGTTGTTTATGAAATTCCTCTTTTGTGTTTTAATGCTAAGCAGATAAATCAGAAGAAAAATACCGTTTAGAGGGTACGCGAAGTTGATGATTCAATAAGTGTCTTCATCCACTTGTTTAATTTGTCATGTAGCATTTAGTATAGTGCTGGTAAAGAATGTTTATTTAGAATTCCCTTTTTTCTTTTCACAGGATACTCCAGGGTTTATTGTAAACCGTCTCCTGGTGCCATATATGATGGAAGCCGTTCGACTGTTTGAGAGAGGTACTTGCTGGGATATTGACTTCAAGGAATGTTGGCATAAAACACCGCTAAATGTTATATCCCTTCAGAATAGCCTTGGGATTCCCTCAAAACTCTCAGACCTTAAAGGCTGGAAGTGAATAGTGAACATCAAACATAGCCAATATGTGTTTGGAAAGACGTTGTCTTCACTTTGAAACGTCAGTGTATGCGGAGTCGGAAGGTACTAGTTATGTGTGTGTCAAATTTCTGGTGGAAGCCATTTTTGTTTTGGAGATGACAAGGTGAGTGTAGTGCCATTGTAAGAATACCCTCTGCCAACTAGTCAGGAACCTCCCTCTCTCCATCCCAAGAGATGTTAAATGAAACTGGTTGAAAAATCTCCTAATGGGACCATTAGTGAAGTTCTCCTAAGTTCAGTTATATTGGACTTGTGAAATCAAACACCAATTTTCAGGTGAGGTAAGCAGTGTAATACTCAGTGTCACACTACAGTATTGGCATACAAGTGATTTGGGCTAAACTGCTGCCCCATAAAACCTCCTGTTCCTCTTCTATGTCCTTTTTTAGACATAAGTTCTTTAGGAACTCCCATCTCACCTCTGGTCTCTTTTACATTAATACTGAGAGTAGGTGGAAATAATCATGAGTCCCCACAGAACCACTAAATTTTTGAAAGCATTGATAATTGTTTTGAAAAGGAAACAAGCCAATAGTGTAGTGGATAAGGAGGAAATTATGGAGTATAATTGCTTTTATTTCAAGTGCTCTGCTCATAGCTCCGTGCTACTAAGAATGTCATTTGAAACATTTTGTTTTTGAAATCACTGCTTTTTTACAGATGAAAGCACTCCATTATCAGGATTCCACCAAATATGCTTTAAATATTAAAAATCTCTTTTATAGCACATGGAAGGGATGGTTTGATCTCCAGAAAAAAAAACAAAAACCCAACACTGCTTGTTTATCCATCAACAGATGTACCTAATTACATCTCAAATGGAGAAAAGAGCAATTTTAATGACTTGAAAGGCAAAGGCATGGATGCGAGGGGGCATTATTCTCTTAGAAAAAGTCACCATTTTAAATAAAGTGTATGGGTGTTCCAATGTGTTTAAAAGAGGTGCCTTTGTTAAGTCACATGTATCATTATGAGTATTTCAGGAGACAATAGAACTTCTAATTAAATGTAAAAGAAAACAGTCACTGAGATTATGTGTTAAAATTGACTTGTTTTCCACCTAAGCAAACCAATATTTTGATTTAATCTTTATTCTGTTTGTATTTTGTTCAACAGTGTGATATTTCCAAACTTGTTAAAGTTAATTTATAAATTTTTAACTCTAATGAAATCCATTTAAAAAGCAGGTTTATGTTTTGAAAAGCCTGATGGCTGTCTTCTAATTCATATTTTTCCATTGAATCAGGTTAAATTTTTATCATATCCTTTGCATTAATTCTCAGAGTAAACACTTGAGCCAGATTGTAATCCACTTTAGTATGAAATTAGGTCTCTTTTCCTGGCAACCCCAAGCACTGAGATACCATTTTATTGGGTCAGTCCTTGAGTCTTTATTTATACAAAATCTCTTTGGGTTAGATGTGTGCCTTTGCATAGGCAAAATACCTTTAGTATATTAACAGTGATTTAAACAGGGGGCATATTATAAATATTAATGTATGGTGGTCTGTACTGTCCTATTCTTGGTGAAAACCAAAGAAGCAGTCAATCAAGTTTCTGCTTTATACTTGGAGACTGGGATGAGCTGAGGATACAACCCTTGTTTGCCTTTTACTATTTTGAATTGTATTGTGATGCAACTGTATACTCTTAGGTGTACTTCAAATCGATTGAGGATTTACGTGTATTTGGGGAACTGAAATTGTTATTAATCAAGGCTAATTTTTCCAGTTCCTCAGAAATAAAATGTGGTTTAAAAAAATACTGTCAGCTTTAAAGAGTAAAAGGAGACATATAAAAATTATTACTTCATACAGAACTTTCATTGAAATTATTGTCCTTACAGAGATTTTTGGAAAGTTATTTCTAATATTCTCTGATTTTAGGTGTATAAATTGTATAAGGTATGTCCACCAAGCTTTTGGACACTCCTAATGCCTGTGTGCATCGAGCATGGAGGTTACTTAACAAGTACCTCTGGGGTTTGTTTAACTTTGTCCTTTTTATAGGATCTGCAAAGAAGTGCACTGCCTTTATCAAAATATGTATTAGAAATAAGCAGTAGAGATGCATCTGCTTCATGGCAGTATAAAATATGCATTCCCAGCATAAGAACGGGGTAAATCTTAGCTGTGACAATGTGTCGGTGCAGCATTTGTGTTTTATAGGCACAGACTGAAGTAGAATTAACCGATTTCTGGTAGTTTTGATTTTATTTTATTTTTTTAAGTAATTTTTGGAATTCCCAAATTGAACTGGATCTGCACAATCTCTTCAGGTCACTTCTGTCTGCCATCTAATTTCTGGTAGTTTTGATTTTTTTTTTTTTAAGTAATTTTTGGAATTCACAAATTGAACTGGATCTGCAGAATCTCTTCAGGTCACTTCTGTCTGCCATCTCTGGTGCTGTTGGATATCCTCCAGTGAAGGTTGCTGTAACTGAGCACGTTACTCAGCCTCTACTGCTCCCCTGCCCACGTCTGTCTTGTCCATCAGCTGGGTATCACTTGCCTTCTGGCTGTTGTAGACTAAGGGTAGCTCTGTCCTGTGCATTATTCAAAAGCTGCTGCTGATCTCATGAAGCTGAAATTGAGATCTTTTCTTACTTACACTACTCAGCTGCCTCTAAACACCTCTTGATTCTTCACAGCGACCAATTCTTCCTCTAGTCCTTTTGACAGGTTGAGCACAGTAACTGTGGCTCCATCAATAGCATAGTGACCTATATTGAAATGCAAGAGGAAGCTAGAAAAATGGAAAGCAAGCCTGCAGAGCTTTTTTTCTTTCTTTTTTTTCTTTTTTTTGGTGAGAGATTCAGCTTTATACTCCAGCATGTATATGCTGACTTCAGTTTTTGAGGTTCTGAAACGTGCAGAGATTTCTGTGAAGAGCTGCACCAGGGTGAAATAATACCCTGTTAATTATTTATGAGTGGTGCCAAGTAGATGCGGAATCTTCTCTGTTCATCAAACTGTCAATCTTTTCTCTAGGAGATGCATCAAAGGAAGATATTGATGTTGCTATGAAGCTTGGGGCTGGCTATCCCATGGGTCCGTTTGAACTGCTGGACTATGTTGGGTTGGATACCAGTAAATACATTATAGATGGTACTGCTTGCTTATTTTCTTACATTTTTCCCCTTTTTAGCTAAATTGTAGATGAATGTTCTAATGAAAATCTGACTCCTGATTAGTTTAAACTGAATGTTTATGGCATAGCCTTTTAACTGTTGAGGAGAAAGGAGTGAGAATTCAGCTCAGAATGCTGCACGAGTACAGCATTTGTACTCTATGCCTGTACACTGTGTACACGGGGACAGAACAGTGGTGGTTTTGCTGACTTCATTAAGTTCCAGTGGAAAATAATAATAATAGTAGTGGAACTTTATATAACTGAAAAGAATCAGTGAGAAGAGAGACGTATACTGCGGGTAAGAAATTCTGATGAAAAGCAACAAATGTTGAGCCTCCCTGTCCTTTTTTTTGCCAATCATCTTTTCATTCTCAATTAATAGAAAAACCCAGTAAATACTTCAAAAGATGCAAGAATACTATCTTGGTTTTACTTTAATTGATAAGTGGATGAATGTCAGTACAATAACAAAAAAAAAAAAGATAGAATTGGTGATGGCTTGTTGATGGTTGTTGTATTATTTTGAATGAGCAGCTTAAATATTCTCCGAGGCAGAATGTCACTTTCAAAATGGCATCTTCAACAAAACCTCTTTTGCTTTTAGCCAGTGCTGTAGAGTAGTGTTAGGTTTTTTTAACTGACCATGTCTTTTGCAGGTAGAAGTTCAACGTGGAATTTCCACTTGAATTTCTTTTCAGCATAGCCTTTGTTTTATTTCCTTGCACTTTAATATCTTTTAAAGGTTCTCCTTAATTTTTTAAAAAAAGTATTAAAAATCCTCAGTCATAGAGATTATAAGGTGTTCAGAGTAAGACTACACCTAAGGTCTAATTGCTAGATTTCCTCATAATCATCAATACTGATCTGTGCTTTATGAATCTGTATTGAAGGGTCTCAGACAGTCTAGGATAAGTTACAAACCTCCTTTGTTTTTCTGAACTCTTAATATTTTTTAAGGAGATGCAGATCTCTATTATCTTTCCATATAAACAGAACTGTTACTAATTCATCCACTTCTTTTCTTCCACCAGGATGGCATTCATTAGAGCCCAACAATCCTCTTTTTGCACCCAGCCCACTCCTGAATAAACTGGTAGAAGAAAAGAAGCTGGGTAAAAAGACCGGAGAAGGATTTTACAAGTACAAATGAACTCCAGACCTCAAGAGGTGTTAAACTGTCTGTGTATGCTCTTCAGCATTGCCATATTACACATGAATTGTGGTTAAACCTTCCCAAGGATGGCACAAGCTGCATTTAGAACATAACCCACCTCTGAACGCAGTGATTGCACTAGTTAACTATTTCTCTGGTGGAAGCTTGATTTGGTAGATTATTTTTTTCTGGTAATTCTGAAAAGCCTTATATGTACAGTGCCTTCATGCAAATGTTGATTTTTTTTCAGGTGCAGGACAGAACGACAAGTGAATTTATGTGTTTGAAACCTGGTATTAATGGGAAAAAATCCTAAAAATAACCGCACTTTCTTAAAAATAAAATTTTCAACAATTCTGTATTGAATGTCATGGCTTGCGGTCGATGTGCTTGGTTGTGGTCCACTGGGTGGCAGTCTCTTCGTAGCAACAGAAAGGCAGCAAGTTGTTTTGCTAGGATTTTTGTTAACTGCAGTGCTTTCCTTAACTGTAGGAGTAAATTACAGTGCCTTAAACAATGATTTTTTGAATATTATGTTGTTTAAAAGAAATTTGAATAATCCTGCAATGGCAGGCTGTCACCTGGGCAGAAGGCCCCCGATATAGCATTTGAAAGCAGAGCTCATGATTGGTGTTGGGATTTTCTGGCATTTTCAATTACTGTTTGAGAGCCTCATTTTGCTAGGTGCTGTAGAAACATATTGAAGAGGTGGTTTCTATTTTGAAGGGCCTGGGCTAGGAAGCTGGTGAAAGCTTCCGTATGCTTTCAAGAGCCCTGTAAATTGGCTTTATTTCCTGGCTTTTCATTTAAAGTGTCATATTTACACATTACACTGCTACTGTAGTTGAGTACCTGGGGGATTGAAATTGGTGTCTGTGCCATGTAAACAAATAGGCGTGCCTGGCTGTGTGAGGCACCTTCTGTCCTGCAACTTTATTTCCTTGGGGCTCAGCAGAACCTGGATTTGGTCATGGTGGGAGTGCTGTAAATCCTGCCTTTTCTCCAAATACTGCAGAGCAGGTGGGCATGGGGGTTGGAGTTCCAGTTCAACTGAATAGTAGCCTTCTTTGACTTTGTGAGTTTTGGATCTGCAAACTGAGTGCTTATATATATATTTTTTAGTTAAAGAAATGCTGAATAATTATTTAACTCTAAGTTGCCTCTTCCTCCCCCCCCAGCATCTAATTTGGATTGCATATAAAGAAACTGAGACGGTTTCTTTATATCACACAATCAGACAAGAAATCTCCGAGTAGAGAATAAAAATTGTTAGTTTATTGAATCTTGATTCCTAATTACAGATCTTCTGATTTTGAGTCATAGAATATTAGACTGATTAGAGTTGGAAAGGACCTTAAAGGTCATCTAGTTCCAACCCAACAGCCATGGGCAGGGACACCTCCCACTAGAGCAGGTTGCTCAAAGCCCCGTCCAACTCGGCTTTGAACAATTCCAGGGATGGGGCATCCACTGGGCTTTGAACAATTCCAGGGATGGGGCAGCCACAGCTTCACTGGGCAACCTGTTCCAGTTTCTCACCACCCTCAGAGTAAAGAATTTCTTCCTAATATCTAATCTAAATCTCCCCTCTTTCAGTTTAAAACCATTACCCCTCATCCTATTGCTTGTCTTGAAAGAAAAGAGTTAAAGGAAAGAAATGGTAGTGTAGACAGTCTCTTTCCTTTACTAATATATTGTTAAATTGAATTGGTTTTCCTAACATAAAGTCCACTTACTGCATCTGAAGACAGTTTCACTTGAAGGTTCTTAGTGCCTGTAATTCAGTTTAGTGACTTCTAAGTGCTGCAGGGGGAAGTTAGCTTCAGAAGTACTGTTTTCAGTAGTAATTAAAAATGGGGACATCTATTGCTCTTATGTCTTAAAAAATGCTAATTGTTTTTTACAAAAACATTGACTTGATGCTGCTCCCTTTACTTGGAAGATCATCTTTATTTTTAATTTGGAAATGCTTGGGTTTATAGCAAGGCATAGGCTATTTAATATTAAATGTGCAAAATATTTTTCGCTCTTAAATGCGATATTTTAGAAAAACAAACTTTCTCTGAAAGAGTGTTTTCCTTTCAGGAGCTCTAACAGGTACAGTATGTGTAGATGTAATACATACAAGAAACCTGAAAGAGACGTTTGTAAGTTTGGCTTGCTATTTCAGATATTGCTGGTTTTTGCTTTTTTGCTATTTGGCTGCTATTGCAGGTCTGGCAGTTTAAAGATGTCTAGGAGGCTTAAAGAATGAGTAAGGAAATGAAGGAATTGTTTGTCTCCACCTTTTCCTCAATGAAGGTTATTTCCCAGCCCTTGCTGTGCTTGTGACTCGATGGGGAGGTACATGAGCCACGTTCCACTGCAGGTAGTGCTGAGGAGTGAAGGGGAATCTCCTGCTAGACAGTTCCTCAGACTAGGACGTGGTACATAGACCTGTTCTCACCAGTCAGCTCTTCCTGAATTTTTATTAATACGGGAAAAGAGATGGTGGGGAAAAAATGAGGGATAGAAGAGAAAGGAGGAAGGCTGTTTGGTTTCCCTCGCTGCCTACTTTTAAAACCTTTAGTCTTCATTATCCTTTTTTGTTAGCAGGCCTCACAGATTTAGAGCACTTGCCCCAGTTTGGTCAAAGCTTTTGAGCTTTGTGTCTTTGGCACAACTTGAGGGCAACTTGACAGCCAGCAGCTGAGGGGTCGGACATGAGCCCAGCTACTGCAGCTGGGGAGATGGCTCTACGTTCAGCATCTGGGTCATTTCAGCTGCCAAACGTGCTCCATCTATGGTTGTCCTAGCTGCTAACGTGGCCAGGGAGGAGATGGGAGCGCAGAAGACTTTACAGAGGGAGTTCAAAGCAGCATCTTAATTGGTCTGGAGGAGGATGCTCTGCATGAGTGGCTTATGGATTATAAAGTGCAAGAGGCTGCAATAAAGTTACATCCAAAGAGGAATTAAGTGTGTAGAAGTTAACATTTGGCTTTGCTCTAGCAAGTGATATATTCTCCTTTAATGACACTGGGCGCAATAATACTTGTAGGTGGGTCAATAGTAACAGCTGCCTGTTTTTTGAGGGCAGATGTTTTGAAGTTCTAAATCTGCATCTGTGTTTGCAAAAGCCATTGAGCTTTTCCAGTATATTGCTGTAGGAGATTAATTTTCTTAGAAGATACAGATATCAACTTGCAGCATGGATTTGAGTCTAGAATGGAAAGTGGAGTTTGTTGCTTCCCCCTTCCTTCATTGTGGGGATTTGCAGAACATCACGTTGGTAGGAATTGAGTTGGGAAGACAGCATTGCCAAAGAATTTAATGTATGTTAATTCTCTGTTGATGAAATTTAGCCCCTGGAAATGAGTAGTTGCCTTGAAGCGAATAGCTCAGCTCTTCCAGATAGGAGTTTTTTGAACCTATGCCTTAGTTGAGTTGACTGAGCAATTGCATAAAACATCTTGAAAAAGTATCTTTTTTTCTTTCTTAGAGAATTTGTATTTCTCCCCAAAGCCTTCTGACCCAAGGATTTTGAAGTGGCAGTGCAAATGTCCTTCAAAAACCAGTTGTTATAAATGGTAGGCTATTGACAAGGCAGGAGTTAACTCCAGCATCTAGTGTGTGCTCTTCAGAGCCATGAGATCCAGTACTACCAGCCCAGTGCTCCAGCAGTGAATCAGGCCTCTGAAATGCATGGTAGTGGCTTCAAAATGAGATTCAGAGTTTCGGTTTGGTTTTGGTTTGGTTTTGTTTTCTTAATGCCATATTTGATGATTCTTCTCCTGATGTTTGCTCTCTTATCACACTTTCAGGTATCTGTGAAACTTTTGAGGTTTGTCAGTCAATCTCTCCTGTAGGGCCACCTACTATAAATTAGTGAATGTTTATCAGGCTGGAAAAGAAAAAAAAAAAAAAGAAACTTGTGGTATAAAGTGTAGCAAGATGTGATTGCCCAGTTAAATCTGTATTTGTTACTGGAAAGAGAAGAGCATCTGAAAAAGAGGTGGAGCATGATGAGTTTTCCATGTTGCAGAGTATTGCTCTTCAAGCCTGTGTGTGTGTATAAGTATATATATATATATATACACCTGTGTTTGACAGGTATATCGCTGATGGTTATTGCAAGTGTTCATACTGATAATTTTTGTTAAGTTATCAACATATAATTGCCAAAGTTTAATGCACGCTTGTTATTCTTAGATCTAGAGAGAGCCACTTTACAGTATCAAGTGGCTTTAAAGATGTGGGCAAACCACTATGAACTACAAAAAGAAGCACTTTTTGTAGTTCATAATGTCCAACATTCCCTAAAAATTTACTCCTGAGTTTTGGAGTTAATTTTTTCAAGAGGGGTAGTAGTCTTCTTGCATCTGTAGCTATAATATTACATTCTTACTTTTCTAACTAGTACCACAGCAGTGACCCACATCCCGGTATTTTTATTCACTACAGTTTGCAACCACGTGAGCAATTATAAAACTGACCTGAATGATGCCTATTTCCCTGTGCTTTTTGGAAGAGCTGAGCCCAGGAGCAAAATCAGATGCTACGGCTCTTTTGGGAGCTGGATCTTTTCATGTTAAATGTTCCTTCAGACGCTTTTCCTGTCGTTCACAGCCAGAGAGAAGTGCTTCTGCTGAGTTCTGTTAGAGAAGGGTTAAGTAGAGCCACAATCTGGTAACTGTAAAGATGATTTGTAGAATGATCTGTCTTGGATTTTATGATCTTCTCAAAAGTTCACATTATAACCGAAATCCCTTTTTATGTACCATTTGCAATCTAGTATACTTTTCCATTTAAAAATGCAGCGCTATGCAGAGTCTTAAATTAAATGTATATGATCACAGAACCGTATGTAATGAGGTCTGGGGTTGTTACTGATAATACATTAATAAGATTTAGGTTTGTATGCCCATGGAGCAGCTTTGCACTTGTTCGGTTCACTCTTCTCTTTTATTCCCTTAGAGGTTTTCTATTTGGTTTTCTATACGTTGCCAGTAACTCACAGCAAGGCATTCTTTGCAGAGAAGCTGGCACCATAAAGCTCTGATGCTGACTGGCTGTTTTGGTTGCTCCTGGGGTAGGAATAATACAAACCACCAAACCTAGTTATTAAAGGAGCCGTTTCTTTTGTCATGTGGTGGCATGAGGCATGGCAATGAGGAATAAGGCCAAGTTTTCTTTCCAGCCTTGGGTCAGATGCTCTAAGTTGGCCAGGGCACAGGAGGATATTTTAGCACAAGGCTTTTGCTTGGCGGGCACTGAGGAACTTGTCGCTTACTTTGGCTGTTTCATGCTGCCAGATAACAGGATTTTTTTTTTTTTTCCTAGCCTGTTCTTCACTGCTGCTTTGCTTGGTGCATCTCTGTCCTGCCTGG